TTATAGACACACCTCTGCCCCTAGAGAAACCCCTCCAATTATAGACACACCTCTGCCCCTAGAGAAACCCCTCCAATTAGAAACACTTCTGCCCCCTAGAGAAACCCCTCCAATTATAGACACATCACTGAAAATAAAAAGGAGTCACCCATCCATTCTAAATAGACTAAAATATAAAAAGAACTTTTAAGTAAACAATGTCATTTATATATTACAGATGCCATACAAACGTTAAAGAACTTTTAAAATTATAGAATTTTCAAATTAATCTATGCATTTCTTCTTTAGGACTTTTATAAATTTCAAATGCTTTTGCCATTTTTAATCACGGAAAGTGATTTATAATGCTGCAAATCTCCAACTTTAAAAACGTTAGAATCCCTTACTCGTAAACTAAAATAATGAAAAATCAAAAGCACACGTAAGACAATCCACATTAACAAAATATGAAAGATTTACACACGCGTAATGTGTTACAAACTTTAGGTTAATAACTATAATTATCTTCTAATAAAATACTTTGTTTCAATGTGGGGTAACTTTTTTACTCTTTTGCGTTATGGAGGACACTGACGTCGAATTTTTATTTCAAAAAAAACGTTCTTTTCCGGAATTTTTTTCACTTTTCACTTTAGTCTAAATTTGTTTCCCCGTGCCTTTGGTAAGATTATTAATTATCCAAAGCATTTCAATTTCCCTAAGGTATGRTAACCTTTTTCTCCCGAGTCACCTGTCTCTCCAAAACGAAGCTGAGAGACGGGAAGATGTGACTTGTCAGTTAGTAGCCCATCATCCTCTCTCCACACATCATCATTAGCATCACAGTTGCATAGTCCACCTTTATTGGCACAGGTATCAGTCAGACCACATGCGCACTTTTTGACTCCTGTAGGGACCCCTCCCCAATTGACCATTTTTGCCCCTTCACGTGACGACCACCAGCCAAAACCTCTTAATACAGAGTTAAAACATTTATATATGATGTACTGCTCGCATCGTGTTGATACTCTTGTGAGGCTGGCAAGTTGAGATGTGATTACACCGCTGTACACAACATTCCTGTAAAAAAGAAAGAACAACTTAGAATACCCGGTCATGCACTTTGTTTCAGTATGAAACAAGTCCTTTTGAAAACGGCGCTAATATATAATTATAGAAGAGCAATCATAGGGGATTACTATGTACATATGATTTGGCTGGGTATTATCTGAAGTTGTAACATAGAGTTAATTCATGAAGTGAATGACAACCCATGCCAGACAGATTGACTAGATTGTCATACCTTGAATAACTTCCCGGGCTTTCATATCCTCGTACTAAAGTCCGTTGTTCACTGTCATGGCTGATGACAGTTACTCCCACTTGATGTTTATCCTGCATGTCACAGTACACTTGGAAAGGAGGATCCTCTCCATCACCATCAGGATCGATCATGGCGAATCCACTCAAAGAAGTAGTACCAAACCGTTTAAGTTCGCTACATGTTCTTGGAATGATTACATCAACGGATACTCTTGTACTGATCTGTGCCACTATATTCTTGGCTGTACAGACATACAAACCTGAATCTCCTGTCTCAACCCCATCTTTCACTAGAGTACCATTGGCTAAAACATTCAAGTTCGTTCCACGAGGAGGTTTAAAGTCTCCGCTGGTGGCCTGGCAATCAAGACGTAAAGTAGCTCCATATTTCAAGCTAATATTCTTGGACGCAGGGGTCAACGTGAACCTCAAACGAGGGACGACAATTACATTGGCCGTAGAACTCTGAACATTTAAAAGGTTTCTTGCCATGCACATGTAAATATCAGCATCAGTTAGGATGGTAGATTTGATGGTAAGGTTACCAGTAGATATTATAACTCTACTTGGATCCAACGAACCACTGATCCGCTTCCATGTTATTTTCGGCGGTGGGTTGCCTGTGGCTTCGCAAGACAAGCTGAGCGGTCTTCCTTCTTCAATAACGGTTGGTTTTGGACGAGTGACAAATTGGACTGGAACTGAGTAATGTAAAGATTAATAGGTTGACGATATGCTAAATGAAAAGATCTGTCATTCTGTGAATAGTTGTCACTTACCATGCACTGTCAGTACGGCTGATTTACGCACACTACCCAACACGCTGCTTGCTGTACACGTGTACACACCATCATCTGATAACGAAGTGTTCACCAGCCACAGTGTCTTGCCTTGAATGACGTGATTTGCACCAAGTCCAGGCTCCCCACTCCATTTAATATCTGGAACTGGAAGACCGCTTGCGTTACAGGTGAAGGAAACGTTGGAATGTTGAGTAACGGTAGCTGACTTGGGACCGACCAAGATAGACGGTGAAGATACTGAAATACCAGGATCTCCTACAAAGTAAGATTCAGCAATGCATTAGACTAAGCTGTCGTCTGCTCCTTCCTTTCATACCCTTCCCATTGATGTGCGCATGCGTTGATCTAAAGTAATCTGATTGGATCTCAAAAATGTCCACAAAATCGATCGAAACCATGGGTTTTATCCACCTATCCATTAGAGAAAAATAACATATAAAACTGAGAACCTTAGTTTTGTTAAGAGTTGATAAGTCGAGTATTTGAGAATACCATATATACCTTTCTGTCCTTGTAGCCCACTTTGTCCTGGTTGTCCTTTATTGCCCTTCTTCCCTTTGGGTCCTCGCTTTCCTGTGTGACCTCTGCTCCCCTCATTTCCCTTCTCTCCTTTCTGTCCATGTTTTCCATCCGGACCTCTCATTCCTGGATTTCCCGTCTCGCCTTTCTGCCCTCGAAGGCAGAGTTTCTGGTCTTTGGTACGAAACAAGTTAAGTAATGACCCGATCACGTGACGTACTTCTTTCTTTAGATAGTATTGAGGTAAAGTGTCGTTAAGATCTTGAATCTGTCGACGTTGACGTGAGGTTGGACTCGAAGAGCTACAGCGAGAACCAGACTGTTGAATATCTAACAGAGTAGTGTAAATAAATCCAAGCCTACAAGTTAAAAACTCTTTTACATGCTGCTATTTCCATCCACTCATCACCGTAAGAATGTTTTCATTGACTTGCCTTTTTTCTTGTTATTTTGGTGGCGAACATTGATCCAATTCTCCTCCAATTTGAATACTTGTTATATATATATAAATACTCTAAATCATTTTGTCGATATTCAGATCTTAAAACAGCGACACAAAGAAGAACAATTGACAAACACGATAGCGTGGTAGGAACAGCACTCATGCTTGTTTTATCACTTCCCATTATTATGCAAACTGTTTAGTCTAACGAGGTGGTTTAGACTAGACAATACAGGAACTAGTACAAGAATGGCGAGCTRTTTGAGGTCGAGCATGATATGATATGCACAAACAGGACAAGACGTGTATTAACTCGGTCAAACTATTAACGGAAATAAAGCGGGTAAATTCCTGAAGGTATTTCTGTCATGTCGATGCCTGTGGCAGCAAAGCTTACTTTAATTTCACATGAAAACGATTACAACATAAGGTCACATTGTACCTTCTGCGTATTTTCAAGCAAACTTAAGAGCCCACACCAGGCGCTAGTCATTCTGTGAATGAAAACCGGCTCCGCGAGAGACACTGTGCAGCGTTGCTCCATTTTACTACTGACTCATTTGGTGGTAGTGGCACGAGAGAAAAATACAAAAAGCTTTAATTGTTGTTTTGACTGTAAGAAGAAAACCCGACTCAGCAACCTAAGCCACCCCTCTCACCCCTCCCTGCTTGCAATGTCTTAACATAAACCACGTAATAGAGACACCAAACAATGCAAAGAAGGTCCGTGAGGTAGGTTGGCTTTTACGCAAACAATCAGACAAAAAAGAAGAGAGGATTACAAATAATACACTACACACGACCCCACTCGATGTTTGTGTTCAAACTTCTTGTGAAATACTTGGCCTTCTTGTTTAACAGTACGACTAAACATCTCTCGCCATATCTTCTTAATTATTTACGGTCTATCAAACAGTTTTAATCACAAGCAGTATTTTTACAAAGAAGATATAGAAATGATTCTTAAGAAGATACGCAATAAGGAATTTTTTTTAAAAAAGAACCGAATTTCTAATACAGAAATACAAACATCTTAATATGACAGCACGCACAATTAACAACCGCTTTTACGCCTTCAAACCGCAAGCCGATTGTTTTCATAGTATTTTTAATTTCTTTTTAGCGCGTTAATTAATCATAGTCGATGATAGATGCTCCTTTAAATGGGCGATCAGTGCTATCGAACATGATAGCAGAATAAGAATCGTTCTAGGCGTTTTTGGATCCTGTTTTGATCGATTGGGATATCGTTAACGATGATAATGGATTGATAGATGAATGTGCACTCTAGGTTGACCACCTCTTGAGAAAACCACTGCTAGATAAAGGTCATAATACCTAAAATTGGTAGATTACCAAGAGTACAAGACCTCTGTTATTTATTATCTCTTAACATTCAAAAATAGTATTGATGATCTAAAAATAACCTTACAAAAAGTATAGTTCGGCTAAGACCATCGACTTGCTAAAAAACAGTATTCAGGTACGTTCTGATCGTTTCTTTTTGGTTACTTTTATCGTCCAGGCGTTTAAAGTTAAAATAGCTCTAACCCGTGGGTGGCTAGTGTCTTTAATGTTTATTTAAAAGTATAATATAAAGTGTTTTGGGGTAGTGACGTCATGTGGTCTATTTATATAAACAGCATTGTGTCAAGTCAAGAGTTGATTGAAAGACACAGAGCGCACATGGATCGTCAGTGAGTCGGTTTATCCGTCGCCTCTCTTATCTCCTAGTAAGACAACATCAACAAGCACTGAAAGCGTAGAAAAAGGAAATCTAATACTACGGAAACAAGAAGCTGATTATTTGTGAGAAGAAAGGATTGTATTGATCTCGTAAATGAATGCCTTAGACTTACGAGTGACTAAGTGACTGTCGTAACAGATGAACGACTTCGTGGTTTAATTGAAAAACAAGCGTGCTGCATTCTTCTTACGAGGGATCGGTATATCAAATAATAATACAAAGAGACAGGCTTATTCTTTAGTTTCAAACATGTTGTCAGCTCGACGGCCGCCATCTAAGTCATTTTCAGGCACAGCTCCTTCGTTGGATCGAATCAAGGACGAACGCTATGGTCACATCAAGGCGCGCAAATGTTCTGAAGCATTTCTAGTGACTGCGGAGTCAAGCAGATGGTCAAGAAAAAATTGCGATAGCAAAACACCTCTTAGACGGACTAACTCGCTACCAGACTGCAAGGAAATGGATGTTCTGTTTAAAAATTCAAGTAAAATTGGAAGGGACAACAACAGCAATAACTTTGTACCGGTCAAGAGAACCAGGAGTGTGTCATTTGCTCCTGAAATTCTTCTGTTCAATGCAGTGGTTGAAAATGATGTCTCGGAGCTCGAGAGTTTGATTCACAAACACAACGTGAATGTTAACCACACTAGCCCTTGTGGTCTTACTGCTATACACTATGCTGCTCTAGAAGGGGGACTTGAGTGCCTTAAGGTTTTGATTGATAATGGAGCATCTATCCATGTTCATGACTCACAAGGTTGTTCACCCTTGGATTTTGCTGTTCGTGGAGGACACTTTGACTGCGCGGCTTACCTGATCAAAGCAGGAGCCGAAATCACTAAAATCATCAATGGAATGAATTAAAAGAATAAGGATGGATCGATGTCTTAAGATAAGAGACATTATTGATTCAAATCAGTTGAACTGCTTCGAGTTCTGTGATAAACAAACTGGTTCGAATGGAATGAGAAGGGAATATAAGGTGAGCCTTGGCAACGCAAGCCATGGAACATAAACCCGCGGGAAAAAAACACAAACAATATGGATTGTGTAGCTAACAGAAGCTTGACAGTTCATGCACGAAGAGTTAATAATATATTATATCAAAGGTGATTCATTACAGCTCTATTTTAATTTTTTTGAATTTTTTTTTTCTCGCACGTGCGGGTCTAGTGAAATTAGTTATTAATGAGAATATTGAATGGTAAACAAGCGCTGAGGAAATATAGAAAGAATGAAAACTATAGTCCTTGATGGATAGTGTTAAGCCAACAGTGGATTAATCAATGTTGATGATTCCTTTAAAACTAATAAGCATGGTAAACACGCTAAAAACAACCTCAAAATCAACATGAACGATTTTCATACATTTTCTCTGCGCGACAACGTACTAAAAGCAGAATGGATTTCTGATCATTGCTCATTTTGTTTGCCACGTTAAATGTTTTTTTTTGAAATAATTATATCATTATTTATAAGGAGGGGGGGGGGGGGGAGTGTACAATTTAATAGTAATTACATCGCTTGAGTCTTGGTTTACTGTCCAGAACAAAAGGTAGACGTCGCGGCTAGTTCTTTAATCACATCTTCATTGTAAGAAGAGCAAATATGGTCTTCAAAAGTATTATCTCGACGATTAATGAATAGTACCATTTGATCACTAGCTGACAAAACATATTTTCAAAATGGGCTTTCTCGGTAGTTTTATTTGAAGAATCAACGTTCGGAAAGGAAGACCAAAATCGCGGTTTCGCAATTCCAAAGCATTTGCGACTAGTTTTCGAACTACGAAAGGTACAGGAAAGTAGCGCTTGCAAGCATTTTGCAAGTATTCGTAGTAAATAGTTATTCTTCCAGAACTCTATAACCAGCCATAGAGCCGGTTAAGTATAATGTTATTTTTAGCGTCGCGGTCGGAAGAATCGCCCAATGAACTGTAGTTTTAAGAATTTAAGTTATTTTTATTCTAAATAATTCCGCCGATAATCTAACGCCAAATTCGAAGATCATGTAATAACTGAGAATTGTATTTTTTGTGGCCATTTCCTGGCTTAGGATTAAGATAAATGATCTTAATAAAAGTGTCGAAAACTACAAACAAAATTGTTCCCAAAGCCGGATATTGAGGAACATCTGTCTCTGACTCATATCCACAATCATCTAAAGAGTTTCAATTCCTCCGAACTGTCTTTATCATTCTTTGACATTTACTTCGGTTAGCCTTTAAACGAAAAGCCTTTGGGAGAGCAGTTTTAGAAGTGGGTGTTTTCAAAAACTAGATAAATTGGTTTTTGGATAATCCTGATTGTCAGCTCGAATCCTGTAGCCTCGTGGCGAAAATCAATTCAGTTAATTTTTTTTCTGTTCTAATCAATCGGGCATTATTCTGATGGTTGGTCGCGAACAAGGGTGTGTCTTTCCTTGATGTGTATGTCATAGTAGCGGTTGTGGTACGCTTTCTTTCTTTTCTGCTTCCTTCCTTTCCTGCCTTCCTTTCTTCTTTGTTTTTGTTCATTCTTATTCCTTGCTTTCTTTTTTTCATTCACGGCGCACAATGTAACCAGGTATATTACGTGGTACCTACCTACCCATCCACCTAACAACCAACATATTGATGGTTTTCACGGCGGCCATGTTGGAGGAACTTAACAAAAGAATTGTCAATTAATTCTTTTGTTATATCCTCCAATATGGCCGCCGTGTCTTGTTATTTAATTCTCTTGGGAATGGTTGTTGAGGCCCCAAATGTTAAATCTCCGTTCTGTCGTTGGACGCGCGCAACAGGATGCGCTAGTGTTTCCAACCACTACCAGGTTTGGTTACCAAAACAACGAAAGTCTCTCTAAAAACTGTAGAATTAGGGCCTTGAATATCAAACAACTCCGCCTAAGATACTTAATTTTCCCTTTCTCACTACCTATTAAGTATTCAAACAAAACTATTAATCTTGTTTTTCAGAAGCCATATATTCGTCTCATTTTGTTCGAGAGAAGCTAATCCTTTTTTTCCGCTTCGAAACTTTAAACGTGTCTTCCCAAAAGTGTTCAAGACCGTTATAATTACACAACACTCAGGCAAACGCACGAAGAGCGTCTTTATCTTGATTAATAGACTCAGATAATTCAGCATTTAAAATGGTGACTCACTTAGGCAAGTCATTCCTTAAAATATCCTCAAGTGTACGTTCTGGTCTCTAATTCGTTGAACAGGCAGCTGTGTTGATATCAAAAATATTATCTAGCACAAAATAAAGTCGTTCAAATATATTTAACTGACAATGCCAGAAGAGCACTGATAGTATTCACTATAGTTAGAGACAATGTGATATTCGATTATCTAAACCTCGCATGCTTTTCTTCGAGATAACCCATTTATCACGCCGTTCAAATTTATATTCAAAAATGTGATGTTTGAAAATGAACATTACATGCAATCTTATTGCGTCTGAAAAGCGCAATCCTTTTAAAACTAAGCTTATGTAAAGTTCTCTTTATCGTTCCGATATTGTACTTCAAATTAATTTCCTAGAAAATACTTCTATATTTTAGTAACCTATACCGCACTAATAGACATGTTTTTCAGCGCGTCTTTCGATATTATGACTAGAAAAACTCGAAACCCAGTAAACGATTTTCCAGGTAGTGATCTACCTCAGTAGATCATTTAATATTGTATTCGGAATCACCTGGGACATGTTGTCAAAACAAGAATAGGATATTGTTCAAATATATTATTTATAGCACTTGCTCGATATTATTTTTTAATTTTTTAATAGTGAGATGAAAAACATTCCATTCATTCTTATGTTTTTTAGCTTGTTATTTCAGTTTTACATATTTTTTCCAAACATTATCATATCATTATATATAGTTTTTCTGTCATGCAGTGTTGTGTACGTCAATGTAAGGGCGTAAAGTGCTAGCTCTAGGTTTTTAAGTGTAGATCTTTCTTCCTTTTTGTTTGCTTCGACAAGCCAGTTCACTCCCGGCGGTTGTTCTTGTGAAGGGTTCACGACGCTACAAATTTTTTTGAAGGGTGCCGGACCTAATTAACGACTTTTTTTCCAACGATTTTTTGATTTACCATCATGGGTGTGAATAAAGTCTTGAATAGCATATATCGATCGAAGGCTTGCAGTTTATGCGGATATTTATTTAACAAACCTATCTGTGTGTCGTGAACAAACATGGGTATATCCAATGCTAACATGGACATCCACTTGAATGAGTCCATGCATATTTCCATTACAGGCTGACCTATAGCTTGAACCAGTCCAATTATCTCTTATAATTCCCTCTCGAGTTCATTGACATTGGTATCGTAGAGGACATTGAACACATCATCCACTTTACATATCACCACATCGCGTCTAATCTCCGACATCTTCCCCGGTAACTGATATTGGATTCCTGCCATTTCAAACCTCGATGTATACTGCGCAAGTTCCCGCACCATCGTTCTTAAATCTGCTACAAGAAGTGGGGTCATTGGACCCCTCAGTACCTTCCACAACTGATGAAAAACCGGTCTGGCAGACAGCTTACTGCTCTGTGCCTTGTTAGCGTCTAAAATATCACCGATCTTACAAATGATGAGATCTCTTCTCACTTCCTCGATGAACTCTGGTAACTTGGACTGCGGGCTCATATTTGTCTTGTTGCCATAGAGACAACTCACAAGCTCTTCGAGTAAAAAATCCGAACTTTTAGGACGGAAGAATTCGGTCAGCGGTATTCTCAGCGCATGCCACAACTGCGCAAATGACGCTGACCGAAACTGCGGCTCAATTTCTTCGATATGGTGTTCGATTGCTTCTACAAGTCCTTCGTCTAGCTTGTCTGGGTAGACTTTTCTTTTATAATAAGAGAGAAAGTCCAGAAAAGGTTTGCTTTGCTTTACTTTTTTGGTTCGTTCTTCAGGATTTTGAAAAAACTTGATGATTAGTGAATCGCGGTTGGCGAAGGCGTTGCTATGGTCACCACTGCCGCTGCCCTGAAACACATACCAACAAAACATGTGACTAAAACAGAAATACACAGAAGACGAGTCCAATTCTAAAGTTGGACGAACCTAACCAATAGTTTGTGTTCAGAAACACGCACTCTAAAAGGCACTCGCTTCACGGCAAATTTTGAACGTTGCAAAAAAAGACATCCGTAAACATCAATAACGCCCTCATGAAATGGGGCAATTTATTTTCAAGTGGCCACAATCTTTTTTGGAATATTCCGACGCTCACTTGTTTTTTAACTTGATCTGTTACAAAAGTATTGACATTGCCACGACTGCATTTTTCCTTATGGCCAAATGGATGAAGCGCAACAAGTTTGACATGACTCGGTTGATTTTCAAGTTGAAATTCCGTCGGTCATGTAAACACAACCAGAAAGATATCTAAATACTGCACCGCATGGGTGGACGGTATGGAAGACTTGGTACGACTGAAAAACAGGCGACGAAAATATGACACACTGAACGTTTGATCGTATAGTTTCAATCCAACTGTCATTCAAAGGGCATTCAAAGCGAAAGTTAAGCTAAGTATCAAAATTGGCGCGATTATAGAGCGGGAGAAAAGCGAAACAAAATAAATAAATAAATAAATGAAACAAATTTTTTTTTACAATTTTCACATCTTCAGTCAAAGCTGTTTGTACATTCTCTCTATCTTTTTCCTTCAGCCGTTGACCGAGACGCAATATCCCGCAAAAAAATTATGAAAATTTCCCGCAAAATAACTCGACGTACAATGGTATTTTTATTTAATTAATCGAAACCTAGCTTTCCACTAAATAGCGTGGCAAAGAAATCGGAATGCCCGAGCGAATGCTCACGTTGTTTTCGATCTAGATCTTCACGTCTGAATTTCCCCAGATTTTAACAATTCAAAGTATAATAATATTTCCTGTGTTGTTCTAGGTGTGAAAACGTTGTTTTATAAAAGATGTTTTAGCCACCTTTTAATAAAAACAAAAGTATAAAATTGTTGACTTACAATATTGATATCAAGTGAACAATTTTTCGAATTTTTCTTTGACTTCCAGATGCTGATAAATTGTCCTATTCAGCAGAATTAAACTCTTATTTTAAGTGTATATATAAATTATACTGAGTTAAATACTTACACTTTGGTAAAATACCAAGGATTGCTGTTCCCCAGACATGGCTTTCGTTGATAATAAAAATGTTAACATCTCCCACCAAGCAAGCCATAATGTCGACTTTTGATATCGATATGACGGATCCAACATCTTCTGAAATCAAGGGACTTTCAATTGATTTAATCGCAAATCTTACGAAGTTTCTTTTTCATTTTTGTCCTGTAAATTTACAGTAAAATTTTTCGCATTTCTTGCCTAGACGAAACAATCTTCTTATAAGTTGCGTTTCAGTTTACGGTTTCATTTTTTACGGTTTCTAGTTCGCTTTTCAGTGTGACATTCATACGCTGTAATCATTCACCCATATGAGATTCTCCGGCGGTCAAGCAGGTCCCGTCCGCGTTAAAAAAAACCCAAAAATAACAATAAACAAAAAACGCGAACTCCAAATTCCTTCACTTGCGAAAGCCACTAAAATGTCACTCAATAAACCATATTTTTATGACTTTATTGAGCATTCAAGCATTTTTAAAGCCAAATATTGAAGGAATATCTCAGATGATTGCGAATGAACGGTTGGCGATTTTAGCTACGGTTCTAGGGTTACCAAGACTTCCCTCTACAAACAAGTGTACAGCCACATGCCACCTGGTCATGGCTGGTTAGATAGTGTTCTTTGTGCTCTAATGCGTGACAACCGTACATATTACTATTAAAAACATCAAGATTCATGTCAAAATAATTAGCCGCCCTGGCAGAAAAAAAAAGACAATTATATACTGGGAGTCATCGGAGTTAATTGGGATTCGCCTTTTCGCAATTWAAAAAAAAAAAGAACGTAACGACCTACTGGTGTATTATGGGAGTGAATTTTGTCTCGGAACATGGTCACTATGGACCCCAAACTGCGCATGCTCAACAAAATAACATTTTATTGAGCATGCGCATTAAGAATGACAGGGGTATGGTCCAAAGTGGGACCACGATATTGCGGCGCTTTCTGATCATTTCAGTCCTGYAGCCGAACGGTTTCCGAAGTTAACGACCATGTGCGTAGAACTTATTTTGATCAAACCAATCAATACGTTCAAAGAAACCAAAAGCTTCCATTGTGTAACACAGACTACAAAGACGATTTGAACTATATGATATATATATATATCTACGATATTGTCCTCGATTGTCCTCATTACAAGATATTTTTCCAAAATATGTCGACTAGGTGCTATTTGTTGAAAATACGTTAACTACCATTTATTTTAAATATTTTATCGTAGGCAGACCTAAACTGATCGTTTCAGTCGTATTCGAAATTTTGAGTGATAAAAACCCACGAATCGGCCACGTTTCTTGTTGATTRAAAGAAACACACGCCTTAGGTGAGGAAAGAGCTTTCAGATCTTAAATGCAAAGCATCTTCTAGCAGCGCTACACAAAACCCTACTATAAAACGCCCGGTACCAGAAAATTTTTCCAGATTCCTCATACGATCGAAACTACACATTTTCTATCGATTTTGACGCCTTTCGTGTTATTCATAGGAAGCCCAAATTGTAGCTTTAAATTCTATATCGGCGCGGAGAATTATTTAGTGTCCTAGAAGTATTTCTTTCTCATTTACTTATCCCATTCTTTTTCCCATTCCCGGTCCCATTTTATTGCATCTATATGTTATACATGAGGTTTTGTTTAGTACTCGGCACGTCGATCCAGTGGAAGTACTCCATACAGTTCTTTATCGTCCCACGGTCGAAGGGATTCGTGAAGAGTCCTGATGCACCAGACAGGTATTTGTACCGTTTCCGGTTTATTCTTTCGTTAGTGGTCAGGTTAACCTTGATCTGGTTAGCCTGGAAAAGACAAGACACCAGCTGAGTTGACCTTCAGAACAAACTCAAGGTCAACCAATCAGGATTCAACATTGTATTTTGATTAGCATTTCCCATGATTCTGCCAAGAGAATCCATGAAATATGATTTTTTTAAAAATTCTATAAATTTATCGTAAATGCTACTAGTTGATCTCATTTGGAATTCCAGTTCATTCAACACGGGAAATCACCATTGTACTCAGCTTCTGCTAGGAAAATGCTAACCAAAAATAATATTGACCCATGAATCCCTTTCGGGRAACACTGTGATGCTTTTTGCGCATGCTCGAGCGTGCGCAGTCAAAATGACGGCAGTTGCTGTCCCAAAATGACGGGAAATAATCACGTGACTTCATGGAGTAATTTGCGCAATCCTTACCTGAAATAAAACTAGTGCAATCATGAGAACAGAGACAATAACGAACTGCAGAAATCCAATGATGTACAAGAAGCTAACGCCATAGATCCTTAGCATTATTACGGCAAAGTAAAGAGTGATTAAACTACAAATATTGACACAAACAGTGAATAAGAAGAAAGGCACCCTGAAACGGAACGAAGAAGAAAATACATTAATATAAAAAATGCTGAAGTTTGGTTAGATTGTCCCTAACCGGTTTAAACATTTCGTTTTAGTTTTTGTTAATTTAGTACGGAAGCCATGCCTATGTACAACATCTAAACAAGCATTGAAGCCTCATGCGCAGATCTAAGAATTCAAATTGGCAAAATTTTACCTTAGAAGAAAAGGTATTTCACGCCTTCCTTTAGCATTTCTGGTCAGGGGACATGGAGAACGTGCTAAAGGACGCAGGGAAGTTCCCCTAGATCCTCATCGGAGTCTACTGTGCACTATTGGACGATTAACACGTGAAGGCAGTGCGAAGAACCTACCTATTACGTAAGCCTACACAATTGTTAATATACGGACAATGGTGATCAAAATGTTCCACACATCGATTACATATTCTACAGTGTTTGGCGCGCAGAGGACGAACCAGTCGACATGTATGACACAGACTCTCTAGTGGATTCTGACCAGTCTTAGCTTGCCATTCATCAAAAAATGGTACCTTGAATAGACACAAAATAATGGCAGTTAGCTATGTACTCAGTGATATAACGGTAAGATGTCGTATGTTATTGAGCGAGCAGTTTTGGTATGACTGTGAAAAGCTCACGACACGAACACGGCCACGCCAAGGTCACAGCGCTGTCAGACCAATCACATTACTTGAAAATTCAACCTCCAACTAATAAAATACTCAGAACACGGCATTAACACAGTTTGGACACGGTCTCGCTAAGGCCGTAGATTTGTCAGACCAATCGGATTGAGCGAGAAAAAAATCCACCAATTAAAATCCTAGAAAACCTTTGGTCATGRCACGGCACGCTTACAGCACTGAGCTTTTCACAGACATGCAAAAACTACTCTATTATGGAGATACCATAGGGTCAGTAAGTGCCGGAGCATTAACAAATAACCAGTGGTGGGGACGTGGGGGAAGGGAGAAGGGGGTAGGGGTAGGGGAGTTGGTTGTTATATATCCATCATACCTGTTTTAAAGCCATGTCATAGTCTGATGTATTGCACGTCAGAAAGCCAGGCTGTCTTGTATTTGCAAAGTACAGACAAACCCACATAAGAACATTGAAAATCAGAAACACTACATGAACTCCTYTGGTGAACTCCCATGACATGGGAAGTACCTGGAAAGGAGAGAAAATGAACATGATGTCAAAAAAAAAAGTTGGATGGATGGATGGATGGATGGGATGGATGGATGGATGGATGGGATGGATGGATGGATGGATGGATGGATGGGATGGATGGATTAATAAGGAAATAAGGAAGGAAGAAGGAAGGAAGGAAGGAAGGAAGGGTGGGTGGGTGGGTGGGTGGGTGGTTGGGTTGGACGGACAGATGGACGGATGGATGGATGAACGCATGGATGGATGGGTGGATGGATACCAGTTTCTAAACACAACTACTTACATCATAAAAATAAACAGGATAACCCCAAAGGAACAGATTAGCGAAATAGAACAACAAGGCACCTCTTGAACGACCAGGAGGACCAAAAATGATATCTCTAAAAATAGAATATGAAATATTTAAAGTGGCACTCTAGCAAAAACGTCTTTGTGCACTGTCTGAATTGCAGTTTACATTCTTTAATTGCGAGCAGCACAGGTATCAAGCATCATCGATAACAGAGTACATCCTGTATAACTATCCTAATATTCATTAGATTGTAAGATGATGACACTAGACTGTAAGATGCTTTGTAAGATAAAACCCACCTTAAACTACACTTCACAAATCTATTGAGTTTGCCTTGCATGAAATGGATCACATCTTGGTGATCTCGGCCCATAGCTAACATTAAAGGTGTCTTGCCATTTGCATCTTTTACATTTATATCTACATCCTAAAGTAAATGGAAAGAAAAACTAGATTAAAAAATCCAATAAAGGCTGATGAGATTAAATGCTAAAAAAACCTGTTGACAAAATGTGTATGCCGTTAGTTACAGTTTGATTTGGAATAAAAACTTTTATCTTCATTAGGCCCTGGCTAAAAGAGGAAACATGTTTCCAGAATCATGTTTACCGCACGAATGTTATCTTGATGTTTCCCAGTTTAGTTCACGTGAAACATTGCTGCATGCAACAAATTTTGCTTCCAAGAGGCAAAAAATGTTTTTGCTGTGCGGCAGAAACATTTCATGTTTCCAAGACGCATGGAAACATTGTTTCCCGATGGTTTCCTGACAGTTTTGCCACTTCAGGAAACATTTAGGGAAACACGTTTCCTCGTTTAGCCAGGGCCTTATTATGCATATATTCATATATTCAATTATTCATTTTAAGTTGGTGAAAGTGAAAATGATTCTACAGACAAAGTCCCCACAAAACTGTTAGATACACCCAAAAACAACTCTTTTGCTGATAGATTACCAACTAACTTACAGATTTACTGACAATATTCAGCTCATACCCACTCTTGTTGTACAAGTTAATAGGAGGTGCCATCTAAATATATATATATAGTATAATGAATATGCATTAAAACTTATAATTTATTAGGTTCATGTTTGTTTTGCAGTTCAACTTTACACCCACAGTATTTCAAAAAAACTTCAAAATAATATTCCAATCAAAAAGGAAACTACATTGTTCGGCATTTATTATGTTACATTTTGTAGTGTGTTACTCCGTCTCAGATTTCAGATCTCCGACCAACAATGTCTTTTGAAAAGGTATATATATTTTGCAATGATAATCAAATAATTGCTCATAAAAACAAATTTTGTAAAGGCAAGGTGCATATTGCAATATGCTTACCATATCGACAATGTGCTCCACTGTAAGCAAGTCTCCACTTAAGCAAGCTAAATGTAGAGGAGTCTATGATGTAAAAAAATGAAAAAGTTTAAAAACAGCTGGCAGTTATCGTAAGTCTCATGATAAAGTCGTTAGTTTTTGAAGTATTTCCTACCTGACCAAATTTATCTTTTTGTTTAGGGTCAAACCCAGAATACAAAAGAAGTTGTACTGTTTCACTGTGACCTGCGAAAGAGAGGAAATATGCATTTAAAAATAATATTAGATATAGTTTTACATCACATGTTGTTGAGTTGCATCCATATTGATCTGTCTTCTTGTGTGCCGCCATAAAAAATGGTACTCTAGGGAATGACACAGTTCTGAAATGGGAAAACATTACTCCTAAACTAAAGAGGTCTATTCTACACAATTTCATAGGATGGCAACTAACCTTTGAAAGCTGCCCAGTGAAGAGCATTATCTCCTTCAGTGTCTGTCAGATACACCTTGGCACCTTTACCTATCAAATATCCTGCTTGCATTGTCTTGCCATACTGTGAACTAATTATCAATGGTGTACACCCCTTGTTATCGGCACAGTCTATATTGGCTCCATTTTGCAAGAGCAAATCCACGGCCATTATGTGACCGCTGACACAAGCCCAGTGAATAGGGTAAGGTCCATATTCCGCTTTACTTTGCCAATTGACATCACCACCACAGTTAATGAAAAATTTAAGAACTTCAGTATGGCCCCCGAGTGCTGCCCAGTGTAGTGGAGTGTGACCTTTTTCATCATGTTCATTCAAGATTTTGACACCTTGTTCACTGATAAGATTTCTGCATGCTTGGATGTTCCTAGAAACATGGATTGGATATATGAATTAAAATAACAATACTCCAGCCTCCTCGGTGAGGTGAGGTGGGGGGGGGGGGGGGGGGGGAGGATCAATCCTATAGACAGAAGAGTGGGGATCTTTGAAAATGACCCCTAAAACATACTCAAGTCTTTTTAAGGTGGGCATGCAGACTGATCATTTTTGAAGGTACCAACTGGTTATGAGCTACAAAATTCAGTTGATGAACCGAAAATAAATATTCTGAATTATAACTGTCATTTCCAGCTGTCAATATGCATCCCGCCCTTTTCCAATTTAACTCCTGTTTCCATCATGCACTCCTCAGTTGCTATAAGGGTTAGCTTTGATTTTGTATGGGATATTCATGTTTCAGGTATCAAGATATTGTTGAAATTATGCTTTCAACATCTAAATGAATACCACAGTATATAAATTCAAAGACAGGTAAAATCATATATTTAAAAACTGTGCCACATGAGATATCTTGATGAATGTTAAATGACAGGTCAAACCATTTTTGTTGATGATTAAAACTAAATGCCACAACCACTTTAAAAACCCTTAAAATTTGTAGGAAATGATTAAGATACTGAATATTTGATAAAATACGTCTAGAATAAAAATATTGTTGAATGAGAACTGATTTAAGATCCTGTTGACTTGCAGCTCTTTGGAACGATAACCAACTTCCTATCTTGGAGTGCCTAACGAAAGCGATATTAAGTCAACTCGAAGCTTAAATACAGCTAGAAAACCTTAAAGTGCATTTTAAGTTGCAAATTGAGTTTCAAAKGCGTGCAGCTACGTTGCTAAGAATCTTGCACTGAGGCTAAGAGAAAAACTAAGATTTATACTAGCTTTTTAGAAGTGTTACAAAGTTGGCTTAGCCTCTGGGGTTTTTTATTTTCACTATTTATTTGAAACAGCTGTGAATGCATAAATTTAACAAATGATACGTAAGCTAATTCATTGTCACTTGTTCGTTTGAAAAAAGGAGAATAAACTGCAAAACAATAGAAAAAGTTCTGTAACACTGAAATATATGATTTAAAAGACGATAGTCTTACCCAACTTGTGCTGCTTCAAATATGGTTGGTTCTTTGGAGGACTGACTAGTATTTGTGTTAGAAGAATCAGAACAACACTGTTCGCCCGCCATTTTGTATTCATTGAAGAACACAGGAGCCCCAACTGATAAACATTACATACAGTGCTTACTCGTGATTACCAGTGATATAAGCTTCCAGCATTTCTTTGTTATTTGTGAAGTTAATTTATCTACACCACTTTATAGCAAACACCAAGAAGGATAAAAAAGTAATTTTCCGAATAAATCTAGGATAAATCTGCATCCAGTTGCATGTCGTAATCTATTCGTAGGCTTTCGTTAGAGTTTCGGTCGTTTCGGTAACCAATTTTAYTTCCGTTTGGTAACCGAGTATTTTCGAGACATTCCCGAGATAGTTCCGTATTTTTCCGAGATTCGTCCGACCATAGCCTTTCCTCCCCGAGCTTCTTCGCGTGAATCTCACATGATCACATGATCATCACTTCCAAATCACTTCCGCGTCTTTTCAAATGTGAAAGTAATCATGGCGGACGAAAGGGATTTCTTCCACCTAAATCGCCTTAAAGGCTTCAATGATGCAGTCTTTCCTATCGTTGCTACAATCCTTATACTTCCAATTCGAAAGCTTGAAGTGGACAGTGATTCCAGTTTGGAGAAGCTCATGGAGGAGAGATGGGTGAAGGTGGCTGTGTATTTTGTGGCATTCTTGGTTATTTGCTCCATTTGGGAATCCCACGTCAATCGTTTCCGTATTCTTTCACACACAGATGATATATTGGTGTGGTTGAATCTGACCTCTCTTCTGTTTGTGTGCTTTTTGCCTTTTACTTGCAATCTTGAAGCAACATTTTACGAGAAGTACACTCCAACCATTTTGATATGTGTTGACCTTTTGATCCTTGAGTTATTAGAGGTAATTATCATTCTCTACAGTTTTAGCAACGATGCACTCCTCACCAATGAAATTCTAGATCTTCCATTTGATCAAAGAAGAGAGCAGAGAAACTACATGTTATTGAAGAAGATAGTTAAGCCTTTGCTATACATCCTGGCTGCTAGCTTGAGCATGGTTAACAAAGATGTTTCTTGGGTTCTTCTTGGGTTAGTCATCATTTCTCCATGTCTTTATCGTTTCCTTGGCTTCCTCTTTCGAATTGTGATGAACATTCACATGGGGAGAGCAGACTTTGATCGTATGTTTGGCAACCTGATTGATACTGAACGTGTTGAGTGTTTTAGTGATGGAGCCTTTGCCATTGTGGCTACTCTTCTTGTTTTGGATCTTACTGCAGAAGATTTCCCAACTAAGGAAGAAATCATTGAGAAAGGAATTCAAAAGTCCCTGTTGAGTTTATGGAGGGAGTTCATAACCTTTGTTGGCACTTTCTTTGTGGTAGCACTGCTCTGGTTTGTGCATCATTCCTTATTCCACTGCATCAAAAAGATGAACCAAGTCATGCTAGTCTGCAACAACATCTCGCTAGCTTTCATGGGACTATCACCCTTATTGTCTGTTGTTATAAACAAGTTTRGACGAAACCAAGACCAGGATGAAATTCTAGCTGTACAATTTAGCTCAGTAGTTATATTCGGTGCTAGCATTGCACAGTTCTTAGTTTTTGTGGTTGCACTTTTGTTAGGGCCATCACATTTAACATCAGAAGCAAGTCCCAGAATGTCACCTAAATCTCATTGCTATCTTGTTGCTAAGCTGTCAGTCCTGCCACTGGTTAGTCTCATAGTGTACTGGACAAGTTTCTCTAGTCCTTTCATCACTTATGTGGTTTATCATTCAGCTTTGTTAGCCACACCTATTTTGTTCATCGTGCTGAAAGTCTGCTTTGGTCGAGGTTCAGATGGCATGACCATGGAGATCCCTGTTTCATCACAGACTGAAAATATTGAACAGTGGATGCCAAGACCTGTTCCCGCTCCAAGATCAAGAGCTCCTAAAGCAAGACGAACTGTTGCAATGTAAAGAGTTACTGTTATCAAACATAATTTCAGCTCTAGTTCTTGAACTTGGTTGACAAAAGGATTTCAAGGTTGTTAGAAATATTGAATGCTACTAACTGAAAGAAAAAAACTAGATGTTATATAATGCTAGAGTACCAGAATCAAAATAAAGTTTACAGTGTATAGATACTTACTATGAAAATTGACAAAATGTGGAACAAGCTAAAGTTTTCTTACGTCAATCACACCTTTTGTATAATTGCCCCCCCCATTTTCATTAATGGGTTAAAATGGAGCTAAAATATAGGATAATATAAAGACTACATGTGCAATGTTTGAAATTATCAATGAAAATTGGTCGGCCAATCATACAAAAGTGGGTGTGACTTTTATGATAGGAAAACTCAGGTCTATTCCACAGTTCGATGATTTTTGCAGTAATAGCTTTCAGTCATAGAATTAGGTTTCCTTTGTAGTAAGGTGAATTAATCTGGTTGTTCTTCATAGGCTGATATTGGCTTCAAGACTATTTTGCCCTTTTTGTATAGTTAATTCTGTTTTGTTAGAGTGCACGCACTAAACCCGTGAAACAAATACCAACTTTTAGTGCTAAATAGTGATAAATAAACAATAGAAAACAAAGGATTCTGTATGAAATAGTACTAATTAGTACTAATTAATGTTCACGGATTTAGTGCGTGCACTCTATTAGGGTGAATTTATAAGATTGCCATTTTTAATGGTCCCAGGAAAGTACATACTCCAAAGTATAACTTCAACTTTACTGGAAATCAGCAAAATATCAATTATCATGGAAAAATATTATGATTTAATCAAATATTAATCTGAGACAAAAATAAACCCGTCATTCTGTAACATTAATGCTTACAAATGCCACACTGCCTGATTACAATGCATAATCTATTTTTTATGTAAAGAAATAAGTAGTGTTAATAAGCTTGATAAAAAAGTGTGGATAGATCTTAACATTTTATAGACAAAAGATTGATAGCAATAGGTAGCCAAAAATAAATTATACTATTGTTAACAAATGCAGACCAAGTTTCATATATATCGTTTCAAATTTCTCTGATTTTTGATGATCATTGATGACTCTGCTTAAAAAGGTTCGAAATTTGAATATGTCACTAACCAAATTTAGCTGCATACATATTGAAATTACCGCTTGGTCTACCTGTGGTATTACTTATCCGTGACTAAGCAATATTGCGTTACTTGAATGTCACGATAAGTTTAGAGGAGATTTTTAGCAAAATCACCGGGGGAAGCCAGGATAAAACCAAAAGTTTGACTGGATTGAGAGTCCTATAAGGCTTATGGATCCCTGAGGGCTATATTGTGTGGGTAAGACTGAGTTCTGCAGCCCCTCCTGCCTGTTCTTTGGAAATATGATTGGTCACGGTGACTAAGCACTTTAACCATTGATGGAATTGGCTAAAAATATGCTGCTAAAAATAGAACATTACGTCTTTAAAGTGAATATATAAACTGGATAGTAAGCCGTTGCTTTATACTTGTATATTTCTACTTCAAAAGCAAGAAAGCAGAGAAAATATATTTATCCAGAAAGCCAAGATGGTCGTCGTTCAAGTCAAGGTACAAGCCTTCGATGAAAAAATGATGGAACCYGAAATTCGTCGATTTTCTATCGACAATGAAGAAGTTACAAGCTTTGCAGCCCTTATTGACAAGATCAAAGGTCTTTTTCCTGACTTACAAGGAAAAGAATTCGAAATTTTTTGGATCGATGATGAACTAGATCAAGCGATTCTCTCGAATGACGAAGAGCTGCTCGAAGCAGTTCGAGTTACAGCAGCTAAAGACGTACTGCATATCCTGGTGAATACTGTAATGGAGAATGATGTACGAGCGAAACAAGAAGCCTGCCAAGAATCCCGTTCTGATGAAGCCGTGTTTGAGTGTCCTCCTTGTGACAACGAAAAGCTGTGCTCAGAGTGTAAGCAGAATGAGGTCCATAGAGAACAAAGGATGGAGCCAAGCAAGAAGCCCTATTTCTGTGGCCGTCATCGCAAAGTTTGCCATTTCCACCAAGGTGTGATGGGTACAAGAGGATGTATGATGGGTGGCCGTGGAGGTATGATGGGTGGCTGTGGAGGTATGTGTGGCCGTGGAAGAATGATGGGCCATAGAGGATGTGTGGGTGGCCAGGGAGGCATGATGGGACCAAGAGGAGGCATTATGGGACCAAGAGGAGGTATTATGGGTGGCCATGGAGGAATAAGGGTCACAAGAGGAGGTATGGGTCATGAAGGTATCATTAGTGGCCATGGGGGAATTWTTGGTCCAAGAGGAATGATGAGTCCAAGAGAATGTATGATGGGTGGTCAAGGAGGTGTGACGGGTGGCCATGGAGGCATAATGAGTGGCCGTGGAGGTATGATGGGTGGCTGTGGAGGTATGGTGAGTGGCCATGGAGGTATGATGGGTGGCCGTAGAGGTATGATGGGTGGCCGTAGAGGTATGATGGGTGGCCGTGGAGGTATGATGGGTGGCCGAGGAGCCAGTATGATGTTTGCAAGAGGATGCATGGCCAGTCCAAGAGAAAAAGTGGTGGCCTAACTTCAAGGAAGACTATGATGCCTCTYGTTATGTGAGTATGGGAAAATAAGATATCCAACACATGAAAAGTATGGAGAAAAAAGTAGAACAAAAAAATGAGAAAAAGAAAAGAAAAAAACAAAAAAACAAGAATAGATGAAAAAAAACAATTGAACAAGAAAAAAAGGATGGCACAAGAAAAAGAAAAAAAAATGAACAAGAAAAAAAAAAGGATGGCACAAGAAAAAGAAAAAAAACAAGAAAAAAAAACATGAATGGATATGAAAAAACAATAGAACAAATAAAAACAAATGAACAACATCTTAAATTGGCATCATGAACATGAAAACAAGATGCTTTTAGAACTAGTGTAAGAGTAGAGGAGATAACAACCTGCACCATATTGGCAACATGAATCTAAAAGAAAACATATTTAGTGTAGTTCAGTCTTAAATAGTTTGATAAGAATACAGAGATTAGATAGTAAAACTCTGCTAACGGATTGGCTTCATGTTATCCAAAAATTAAGAAAGAAAAAAAAAAGAATAAAAATATATTAAATATTGAACTTTATGGAACTCATTTTGTTCAGTATAATTTGTTTTATTCATATTTGCTTTATAACATTTTTCAAAATTACGAGAGCTAATAGCTGCAAGCTGCACACTTACATTTTGGTTTTTCACTGCCTTCAATAGAAATTTATTATTTACTTTTTGCATTCATGATGACTGGCGACAGTGAAAAACTGAAATCCAATTGGGCAACTTGCTACTTTCGAGTTTGTGACATCATGGCACTTTAGTTTAGCCATATTTAATTTTGTAGTCCTTTGGCTTCATGTTTCACTAAAATCAATCAGGAGGGGGGTGGGGCCCTATTTGGTGATCCACTTTCTGTTTGGGGTGGGGGTAGAAAGTGGGGTGGGGGGGGAGCTCATTTTTTGGCATTGAGTGAATCTTGGATGAGGGTCTCTGATCACTGATACAATTTTCTGTTCATGGGTGCACAAATAAAATGAGTTTGAATTAGGATGGGGGGACGGGTGGTGCCTGACGTCTGGGAAAGGGAGTGAGGTATGTTCTCTGGCCAATAATCTTCTCTTAGTAGGGTTATAAGGTTCACAGCTTTATATTTTTTTGTGTACTGGCCAGACTGGAATTCATAAGAGGATCAATTGAATAGGACGAGGGTGTTGGTCCAGGTACATCTAGCTACTATTGCTTCCTTAATAGAAATTCCTGGCAATAGAACATGCACCGTTATAGAAGGTATGTATACTTTGATTGTAAATTCCTGTAAGTCCCAGACACCAAGTTTAATTATCTAATATACAAATGTTCATATTTGAGAGCTCTATTATGCATGTTGCTCGGCAATACCATATTTGGCTCATTGGTGTATTGGTGCACACATACCTGTTAAAGGATAGAGGACTGGGTTCAATTCCTAGATGAGTCTGTACTCAACAGCATTGTTTGAGCAACGGCACTGAGAAAGCTCTCCAAAAGTAATATTGAATAATCCTGAATTTTGTCTTTTCTCTGATATTCAAGTCTATTATTAGGCAATTATTACTAACCTCAGCTTCAGTGATTATGAGGAATATTTATCTTGATGCTTGAAGACTTGTGGCTCTAAAAATATTCCCTGATAATCACTTCGCCTTTGGTGAATAGTTGTTATAAAAAAATAAACAAATCTTAACAATAACTATTTACCTTTTTAGATTGTAGAATTATTACAGATGCTGTTTACTGCATAAAAACCACCGTACACAACATCAAGTATCATTTCACTTTATTTCTTTGAATATTTCAGAAATTAAAAAAGGGAAATTTAGCCTTTAATACTATGGATAGCTTTATAGATATTTCAGTGATTATTCTGAGTAACTTGTAAATATCAATCTTTTTCACACATTTATTTTTCAGCTTTCTTTCTGTTTAAACCTGTTTTGTTTATACTTCCTGTTGTTATATTTTGAAAATAATTCCTTAAAAATGGGTAACTACATTGTAACATTTCTTTACTATAAATACTGAAAATATAACCTGAAAACTTTGCTGTTTACAGATAAGATATTGACTCATCTCTGTACAAGTACTGTGGAAGAGAAGGAAGATGGTAAAAGACAAGAAAATGTTACCAGTGAGTCACCATTCTTGCAAGTAGTTGCAATACAATATTATAAAAGCTGGACCTACTGGAACATTTTTGTACAATTGAGTGATATTTATACCCTTTAAATGTAAAATTTCAGCATCTAAAAATTTGCAGGGCATCAATAATTAATAATTATAATGGACAAAGGAATAAGTTAGCTAGGATGCTAGGCAGAATTAGTTTGAAATAAGAAATCTTCTATCCATTTTATGATATAATTTTTTATATAAATAGCCAAATGAGAGGCAAGTTAAGGAATTGAGCAATGGAACAGGGAGCACAAGAGGACATCTCTTGGTAACATGCAGAAGATGTTGTCTCAGGCTTAGGAAATTATATCCTACTGTGTACTGGAAATAACTGGTTAGAACTATATTATACCACATTTACATGGAGGTAAGGTGACCCTACTTCTAGAGCTAGCTCTTTGTGGGTATCCACTTGGGAAGAAAAACAAAGGACTCGTTCCTCYACTAGAGACACCCTACCTTCATGGAAAAGAACTCCAAATGTCATGAAGTAGAGCTATGGTTGGTCAAGCAAAACAACAAAAAATATGTGGAGTTTCGATTCCTAGAAGGACTGTTTCGGCTGAAGAACACAAGACATCAAGTTGAAATCTGCATTAGAGTTTTGAAATGATTATCATTATCCTTATAAGCAACCTTAATAAAATGAATGAAATATCAGTTCCTATATCCGCAAGGTCATTTTTCTTTCTAGAGATTTTGTAAATTCTGGTTATAAAACATCAATTTCTAGCATTAAAACTTTTCAAGGCATTGTTGCAATGACAATTGAGGGCCAGAGTAGTAAAAATTTTCTAGAAAAATCTCAAGTGTATGTATATAATTATTCTATTTATATCTGCACATGTTTATATTCTAATCTGACAGAAAATATTCAAAGCTTATAGCATTAACCTCTTATTGAATAACTACAATATGTTAAAATAACACCATCTTAAGAATAAAGTTCTATGACATAATAAACTAATCCTACTCTTTCATAGCACCAAGGTATTCTGTTGTCAATCTTAAAATACACCTTTCCCGAATTTTCTAGAGTGACCATCAACCAATGGTTCAAAGAATAGGTAGGTCTTGATAAAATACAGTAAATGTATGAACACATCAAGTTCTACCTCAACTTGGAGCTATTGTTGTGTGTTCACTCGAGCAAATTCATGAAAGGTCTATAAGACTTGTTTCATTCCTGAAATAAACTGCTGCATTTGATTAGAAGTAAAGCTAAAAGAAAAATAGTTAACAAGTATGAAGTGAACAGCTTCATGAATGTGTTGAGGTTGAGGTAAAGCTTAATTATGAACAAACTACACCTATTTTTAGCGTCATCTCTTTAAGAAATTGATGATAGATTTAAGATGTAGTGATAATATCCAATGCAAAAACAAATAAAAGTAAATTAAAAACTCTCTTAGCAAATCAATAAACTTCACTAAAAGAATACACATAGTTTGTCAAACTTTACAGTGTAGAAAACCCATCTGGATTACTGGTGCAAGCAGTTTAACTACAGGAAAAGAACCATCCCTCTTCCACTATAATTATTAATTAACAGTATGTTTTATGTACTTATGTACAGATGGTTATACTCAGCTGTATGATCTACTATGAAAGTGAATTGGATAATACTTCATTAAAAGCCCCTTCAAAGCATGTACGGAGATCTCGATAGGATACTACTAGGACTGTCTGTTCATCTCTAGACGTAAGGCAGACTTTTTCCGGTGAACCAGAGTCCAACTGAAAAGGTAAGTTTTTTTGAAGTTAAGTTAAGCAATATCTTAAATGTTGGAGCAAATAGGGAGGTCAGAGAGAAGGATAAACACAGACATTTCCTGAACTCACTTGCATTATTGAGTGACCACGAAAAAAACGATGCTTTCAAGCCAAGGTTGGACTTGTGTTCACACATTTATCAATTTATTTATTAGTATTGATTAAGTTCAACCTTAACTTGGAACCATTGTTTCGTGGTCATTCATGCAAATTTGGAATGGTGTATGGTACTGCAGCATCAGCATTCCTTGCATGCCACCTTTCACCAAGAAAACCAAGGTTTGGTGTCTCATGTGAGTCAAGTTGCTTGTTGGTTCTCTTCTGTGCTTTAATGTTTTATCTGTGGGTTCTCTGGTTTTCCTCCCTGGAAATTGAGCAATCACTCCCAGTGCTCGTCAAACTAAATAAACTTGAAATTTCTTACCTTGTTCAGACAAGTCACAATATGTGACAAATCAACTACTGGGACAAGATCTTCTGTCACACTGTGGAACAAGTAATCTCTAAACAACTTCAGTAGATATCTGTCACCAGTCTCTGACCAGTCGTGATCCATCCCTAGCCTAAAACAAATCATTGGTGATTAAAATAAGAAAACAACAATGTTGAAACAGTAGACTGCAGAGGGGCTGTCAAAAATCAACAAGGTGTGGGGGATGGCCATCGAAATAATAGGGTACTAGAATGGATAAAATTATAAGCCACTGGACAATATCTGGTCAGAATTGGAACTTGTCTGGTCAAATCTTTGCCTTGCTGGTCATTTTAACCAAGTAATGAGTTATGACTGAGCTTAAACTGTTTTGGCCAGCCATCATGAGGGATGAATGATWGACCAGCCATTGTTTGTAGCCAGTGTCTATTTAACTAACTTTTTAGTAAATGGCAAAAGAAATGAAGAAAAAAATGGAAAACCTATTGCATTTGCCAATTTCAAAAGCTGGCTTAAGTTTAATAACCAGATGTGTTTTTATGAACTTATTATTTATTTTAATTAATTCTATTTTCTTACGTTTAATAATAGTTTTTACACTTACTCTGGTCTCTCGTTTATGATACCGAGTTTCGCCAGTATCCTTAGCAGTCTTCCATTCTCCATTTCCTATCACAAAAATGATTTAAGTACCATGGATGAATATAAAAGAAAAACTGAACTTCCAAGTTTGTCTTGGGGTTTACCTTAGCAAGCTCTCCTTCTAGTACATCACACTTKACTTGTGCTGCCTCTAGTTGTGTGTAGAACCTAGCTCCTATCATCGGCATGATATCGTTGACACTCTTCATCATGGTGGGTGGAGGGCTTCCCAACAGGTAGCTGCGGCCAAATAAGTGGAATATTAACATAAAAGTACTTTATACTTTTAAGGTAATGCACKTGTGCTTTTACGCACAAGTTATGTGCATGTTTTTGTGGGCATTGTAGTGCTGGAATACACTGGCAGTATGCAAGTCTGTGGGCCCAGGAGTACAAAGTGCATGAACCAAAGGATGGAAGGGCTGGGTAAAAATGGTGCCTCGGATCTAAGACATTTTCCCAACCCACATTCACACCATTTTATGATAGAGATGTTGCACCTAAATCTTTACCCACTTTTCTGTCATGTCATTGTACTTGTCTTTCACATACCCACATTAAATACTATCTGCATGGATTAACAGTACTCACATGATGAGGTTCTTTAGATCAGAAGAATAGTTCATAGCAACATATTCTAGGGATTGTTGGATGTGCTCTCTCTGTATGGACTGCAGAGAATAACAGCTTGCTAAGGCAAGAACCAGCTTACCAAGGGAAGTCAAATCTTCTTGCTACAGTTCAAAAGTCAAAAACAGTTAATGCTGTTACATTGCTACTTGGAGAAATTAATTTATGAACTGATTATTCATGGAAAACAAAAATACATACCAAGTAAAGAAGTGGCACTTAACAAGATACTACAAAGATGTATAGAAAAAAATCTTACTTGAAAGTGTGGCGTCATTGCACTTGGGCTGTTGCTGGGATCAAAACTAAGTATATCAAAAATGCCACAGCCATTTATTCTTAATCTGAAATGAAAAAATATATATACACCTTTACTTATGCATGTTTCCCTATTTTAGAGGTGTCATTYTCTTGAGTATCATGTCTTTGTTTAATGGTTAAGCATGAGAAGATGCATGAATATGGATATGACTCAACCTTGAGGGAATGTCCCATGGTCTGAAATGGGAAAACATTATGCTCAAGGTAAGGATGTCTAGATGCATTATATATAAAGAGTGTGGGTACTTGCAGAACACGAGAGAAGTGTTGGGTGATGCATGACACAAACTACAATACAGTCAACACTCGTTACAGCGGACACCCTCCGGACCGTCACTTCATGTCCGTAATAGCGAGCGTCTGCAATAGCAAGAATTAACTACGGTCATTTCTTCGTCAATATTTTTGCCAGGGATTTTTCTCCAGTCCGTAATAGYGAGTTGTCSGTAATATTGGGGTGTCCGCAAGGCGAGAGTTGACTGTAGAATGAACTGATAATGAAATGTACCATACCTTGAGTTTCCTATTAAAAGAATTTTAGAAGGATCGATCATTCGACATGCCAATCCAGCCGCATGAACAGCCCTTAGTGCTGATGACAGCTGAATGATGTAACTCCAGATAAGCTTCTCTGGCATCAGACCACCRTGTCTTGACCGTCCACCCGTTCCTTGCATTCCACCTCTAGGGAAAGCTAACGAGCCGTCRGGATTGACAGGAAGGGTGGAGTCGGGACCTGAGAAGTGTCTGCTTAATAAAGTCTCGGCACCCGCATGATAATCATAGACGAAGACAAGTGCTAAAAGAATGATAAAAGAATGAGTCAAGGTTAGATCTGAGATGCCATATGAGTTTTCTTCAGGGAATACAGTTTAGAGCCTAACTAGAAAACTCCTCATCTATTTAGGCTCTAGGCATAATTTAAAAGTATYGTAAAATAATAATAATGAGTTTGTAATAATAATTCATTTTGTAAATAYCAATAATCGTAAATTATTGTATGAAAATAAATTGAATTCAAATATTACTCTTTGTTTCCCTTTCTTAACTTACAGCTATCTCCAAATGCTTTAGTAGTAAAAACTTCACGTAAGCTGACAATGTTCGAATGAGTTATCTTTTTCCATTGGTCTACCAGTACCATTGATTTGGCATTAACAAGTCGAAAACCTAAGGAAAAAGCAAAAACGAAAATTAATATCCTGACAAATAGATTCATTGATGATAGAGCTCTAATGTAAGTATTTACGTACCGTGAACCCTTCTCAGCATGTACAGTAGTCCATCTTTGCTGTTCATAGCYTTGTAACATGTTGTCATGTAACCAAATGTTCTTTGTCCCTAAAAGATTAAGAAAAAAGAAATTAAATCACAGTGCCTGAATAGTATCTTACCATCAATGGGTGGTGTAGTGGTGATAGTGCTTGCCTTTCATCAATGCAACCCTGCAGGTTGGATTCCAGTAGGTGTTATATGGGAGTAGATACTAGTTGACTCTCTCCTGTGCTTTGAGGGTATATCTTCTGGTTCTCTGGTTTTCCTTCCTACCCAAATCAACTTCTACTACTAAATCTCAATTGGATTAGGAACGAGGGCCACAGGTTTTTTAGCCACTGGCAATTAAGTGCTACTTTCATAAAACAAGGAAGAGTCATTTAAATAAATTGGTTTCAAAGCCCGGGAGTTTTTCAAAGGTTAAAAGAGAAAAGATTCTCTGAGTATGCTGGCAATATATTTTGTAAAGGTGTTGTGCATTTTCACCCAGAAAAGATCAAAATAATGCATAAAAATGTCAATACAGGGATGTGACAATATTGGGGCAATATAAATATGYAAATTAAGAGAGGCTATTGTAGCTTGTTACCTGATCAGCAGGAGTGTCAAGAGGCTCCAATGGACATAACGAATGATAGTTATCCACTTCTTTGGGTACACCTGAATGATTTAAACTGACACTGAGATGTGTATAGAGATTCAAGTGGAAATCACAGAAGAGATGGGTGGACTTCTTCAACATACAGTAAGGTAGGGCAGAGGGTGGGACATAACGGTTTCTTATATTTAACCAGAAAACTTTCCTTCTCAGTTTACTTAAAGCTTAGGTATTATCTGGGCTCAAAATAATGGCCAAGTCATCAGACAATGTCCAGTCAAAATAAATAATTGTCTGGGACTGGTTGTGCGAAGTGTGGATAGCACTATTTGACAGATAAATCCCTATCCTGCGGATAAGTCAATGCTGTTATCCAATAAATTTGACCACCAGATAAGATTTATCCGTTGGATAGTACTATACCCACTTAGCACAACCAGGACCAGGCCTCTAAAAAAGCTCTTTGAACTATTGATTTGGAATTATAATAAAAAAAGGCATTAATGAATATACAGAATTGTACTGTAAATAGCATAAAGAATACTTACTAGGATCATCAGGGTCTAACTGAGCCATGCTCAGAGCATGTTGGTTCATGAGCTCCTAAAAACAAGATGAAAAAGCATTGACTCTTGACTCAAAACATTGATACTTGATAGGAAGTCTTTTCTTTCTTACTCCTTGTGATATTAACAACTCAAATACTCATAACCAATACAGACCATTCAGGGAATGGAACATCCTTTTTAAATCAAATTAATATCCTCACTCAAAACTGAAAATGACTAGTGGTTACTTGTTGGAAATGAGAATATGTGCAATGAATACAAAAACGAATGGAACATCCTTTTTAAATCAAATTAATATCCTCACTCAAAACTGACAATGACAAGTGGTTACTTGTTGGAAATGAGGAAATGTGCAATGAATACAACAACGATAAGAAGGAAATTTAAACTGTGTGTAAAAAAAGTTTGAACTTGTAAGTCTAAATGTCTTCTGAATACTTTAACACTTTCCTAAATTTAGACTCAYATAATTATATAACATGGGCTGGAACTTTGAGAAGACAGAATTGGCTTGTTTAGCGCGGCAAAACCTGCTGACATTTTAATATTCTTATTAGTTAACTGGTAGACATTTTATTCGTATTTACCTGTCTTAGCTGTGCTGACATGGAAAATGCGTTATTTCTAGTTTGGTTGTTTTGAAGGTGCGYAAGATGAGAAGGTTCACTAACTACAGCATGATATGACTGCAACATCTGCAATGATAACAATAATGGTCAAAATAACATTATTTTGCTGATATTCGAGCAAGTTTGACACCCTTCATTCACTTTCTTACTTTCTCAATCAATTTACCATTATTTTTGGTTGTCTCTTACACAGAAAGACAATCTTTACGCTAGTACATAAAAACAGCCAGGAAGAAAATTATGACCATAATACTCTTACCAGAGATGGTTGATTTGGGTTTTGATGTGGATAGAAGTACATCGTCCCATCTATTGACTCTGGATTGAACTGYTGCTGCTGTTGTTGTTGTTGAGCATTTGGATGATTCTAAGAGAAATGAATAATAGATTATAAGTGCTCTAACACTAACTTTTACGACTTCACAAATCATCTATGAATAAATATGTGCAGTCATTTTTCATCACTGGACATAAGGAAACAAGGGTGGTGTTGTGGTAGTCTWTGTATCCCTCTCACCTCTTCAGTCTCAGGTTCGATTCCTGGACTCAGAATCAAATGTGAGTAGAGTTTGTTAGGTCTCTCCCTGGATTTGAGGGATTWTCTCTGGGTTCTCCAGTTTYACTYCCTCAGAAAARCCTAACAAACTAAMTTCCAGGTGGWTCYGTGAGTTAGCTGTGCCCTGACTTTATCAGCACAGAGGCTGTTTCAGGGTACTGATCAAATTTCAAGGCCTTCTTCTTGAAATATCTTATCATAATCAAATTATCACATCATACCGTGGTGTTTGGTAAAAATTCAAATGCTGCTGTTGACACTTGTCCCGGCTGAGTCTTTGGTTTGTTTGCATTTACAGACATTGGTTTAGGGGAATGTAGGGGTGATATAGGGCCACCTGGAGCAAGTGATGAACCAAAAGACTTTTTTGATGGTGATAGAGGTGATGTATGGCTGTTGTGCATGGGTCCTGTTCCCATTGGACCTTGAGGTACCTGAGACTAACAAACAAGTCACAAGCTTAGTATATCTATCCATAGGTATCTTAACCTTAAAACAATAACATTAAAATAATCAATATATAGTGGTTTCACGATAGCCATGCTGTAGGGCAAAACAATTCTTTGTTGGCACATGACGTCATAGCCACCATCTTGGGTGAATTTAACAAAAGACTTGTCAATTAGTTTTTTTGTTATTTCATCCAGCATGCCAGCTGAGTCTTTTGTTATTTCAATCCTCTGGAAATGATTGAAAACCAGCAATAGAGATTTTCTTTATGGGAATTTGAAATCTCTTGTCACACAAAAATATTGCATTGAACATTACTGCTCTCCAACATGTTTGCCAGTAAACCACTCTATATTATTTAACAAAAAAAATACTTAGTTTTCTGGAGTAAAAGTAGTGATACTAGATARCTGTTCACATAATTCACGAGCTTTACTTCATATTAGACAAATATACTTCTACTCATCAGTTGATACTTTGYCTTGCAATAATAATATCTTTGACATTACCTTTGAGTTAAAAGAAAGGCTAGCAAAATTCTGTAACATATTATCTTGGTTTGTGTTAGGTGCTTGGTTCATTGTATTGTTACCCTTGAAGCCCCTGTGTCCTGCGGGTCCAACAGGACCATTACTGGCTTGAAAGATAGGAGTTGAGGAACTTCGATGGAACGAGCTTGCATTACCTGAAAATGATGATATCATATTATTTCTAAACTGTTGAAATATTCTGACTATTAAACTAGGACTGGGCTTAAAATGATGGTTAGTCATTGGAAATTGTTTGCCCAGAATTGGAACTTGTCTGGTCAAATCTTTGGAAATTGTTTGCCCAGAATTGGAACTTGTCTGGTCAAATCTTTGTTTTTCTGGTCATTTTGCCTAGTAATGGTAAGCTGGTTATTTGGAGCTAGAAATGAGGTATTACCAAACTCAAACAAATTTGGCCAGTCATGACTGGCCACTGACCAGCAGTTATTTTGAGTCCTACAGTTCAGTGTGGAGCTCTTTTGGCTCTTKATTTGTGTATATTCTCAAACATTTTTGATCCATGTTTTTGTCCTCCTAACATCAGGTTATGGTTACTGAATTCTTATTGGCTGATGGCAAATATGGCTCTTAATTTGGGATGGAAATTTTAGTCTTTAAGTGTAAAACCTTCAAAACTCTTCAAATTTCATGGATACCCTGAAACGACCTCTGGACTGATCAATTTCAGGGCATGTCTAGCTCATATATATATATAAGTTCAAACCCTGAAACAAATTCTGGGCTGAGCTAAGGATTACTGCTATCTTCATAAACATTCAAACTCTGTAGCTGCAATCTGCATGCTGAACTTTGGTTTTTCGCTGCTGTCAGTCAAAAATATGAAAGGTCCAAAAATTTCATCATGTAGCTTGCAGCTGACGAAATAGTAATTGCATGCTTGTATTAAAGTCTTTTGAAGCTGCCATTGTAACATTACAACTTGCACAATCATGTTGAAGTTTTGAAAGCACTCGTTAAATTTATTCTCAAATATGATCTGTATTTTTGTTTATGTTTCAACTTCTTTTTTTAGGCCTTAGGTTAATCTGGGGTAAAAATTGATCTTGAATAGAAAAAAATACAGCCTATAGCCTACATAATGCCTTAAAATTAAACCCAAAAAATTGAAATTTTGGATAAGCATTTCATGAAATAATGGTCAGTGAGGGTAATAACAAGATTCTATTAAGATGCAAAATTGTTTTTGTGTGTGTTCGTAATAAGAAATATGATAAGAAATCCTTACTTTGGGAAGTTTGGTTAAGATTCATTAAAAATCTCAAAAACTAAAAAAAGTCAAGCTCATCGAAACGTRTGGTACTCTGTGTTAATCTTATTTGTTTTATATAGACGAGTTACTTTGATCTGGTAAACACTGTAAGCYTAATATATGCTGCCTCGGGTAACTGGTTCATAACGACTTGGAGCTCAAAACCCTGCGCGCCGAAAAGCACACTAAGAAAATCGCCACATTTCCTATCTCGATGACAATGAAACACAAAACAGTCATAGGAAAAAGGTTTTACAACCTAAGTTTCGGAATCAGAGGTGATTGTCTTAATAGAAACTCAGGTGTTCACCAAATTGTGGAACTATATAAGTGTGGTTAAAAATTTTTAAGAAGAATATATGCTTAATTCGTGGAGAACTGAAGAAAAACACATTTTGACTGGTAATCTACTGAACTCAATTTGCGACTACCGATCGCCACCAAACCTCAATTAAAACTTTGTTGGATAATAAATAATAGAGATTAATAGCCTAAATGTTATATTAATAAGAGTTATGATGAGTGTTTATAACATACCTTGCCTGTTCTCGTTCGCAGGTTTCGCGTGCATAAACTGGCACTGATCGCCATAAAAACAGTAACCATTGTTGCTAAAATACCGACATAACGTGGGTTTTACTTGTCGAAATCCACCACCAGGAGCAGAAGGATTCATAACTAGATCATCTGAGGGTTTAGAATGAATAAAACAAGGTGAAACATGGAGGGAAAGACAGACTAGTTGATCGTATCGGCCGCCATTTTATTCGTTGCTTGTTTTGTGTTGTGGATTAGACTAGTGCGCAGGTGCAGACTTGGTCGATCCAGGCTCTTCTCCTTCAAACTATCTATTGCGCGGCAAAATCCACTGCAGTACTTTTTTTCCTTCCCGCAAACGGCAAACGTGACCACGTTTTCATCGTTTCCCTACATTTCACTTTACCTTTAGCAAACCTTCTCGACAAAGACAAGTATTCTTTTGTTTATCTACTACTTGGAGATTTTTGCGATTYCTTTTCACTAATTKTAAAGAATTTTTTGATGGTCAACTGACGTTTCACGTTTGCCGTAAACGAAAATCTTAAACTCTCTATTTTCTAGGCCAAAAGGTCGTAGTTTTACCGTCGCTTCATCCCTTCATAATAAGAAAAAAACTAAAGAACATTTTTGAGATCTAATTATGAACGAAAACGTCTTCGTTTTGAGACCACGTTTTATGATCTCAGCATGATATTTTTATCCTATTATCGTAACGCCTTTTCATTCTTTATATTAATAATTCCCATTCACTCGTATCTGACAGTTGTTGTCGTTTCCATCACTACACACTTGCTAACGAAGCGACGGTGCTACAGTCAGTGACACGGATAGTACGATGTAAATATTCAGTTATGGCCGAAAAATACTAGCCAATACGACATATAAGATCGATATGTAACCTCTATTTAGTATCTAACGAATAATTGTTGATATATCGATCAAACTCTTATGGGAACGAAAGGCACACTGGGATGGAAAGCGAGTACTATTACGCCTTCCATGCAACCACTCACGGAATTACAAGGCGGACCGATGGGAACTGTTGGGCTTCGGGTGATAGGGGGGAGGGGTGGTACCAAAAACATCAGGTTTATATTCCTTTACTGAGACCAAGCCCCTCAGACCATAAATTATGCAGGTTCACACAAAAAACGACAACAACAAATAACGCCAGTTAATATATGAAATAGTTTATTAGAAATAAAATCAATTTTGTTACTTATTAGCTCAGTAGCTTTTAAATTGTTAATGCATTTTTTAACCCTATTTTGACTGATGCCTGGGCGTTTTACCATTGGGCTAGAATATAATATATATGTATTAGATATTTTGTCGTTGATAACGAGTTTTAATTAATAATAAGCCTGAAGCGAGATGACGTTTTACCCCCCGACTCTATACCATAATAGTTTTTAAAATTCTTTCATATTAAAATTTTTGATTCCTTAGAGAATACAGGAACAATAGTCATAATTAAAGAACAAAAGCACTGTGAAAAGGTTTATGGTCTGGAGACGGGGGTAAAACGTCATCTCGCTTCAGGCTTATTCAGTATCATGTCTGCCGGTTTTTATAGGAGGCACCTATAGAAAAAGCGTCAAATTTCCACAGTAATTCCTGTTCACTTAGACAAGGCAACTGAAACAGAGTTCAAGATGCGCAACTGCATTGATCTTTGCTCTGGAATAGTCATAGCAAAAGAAAAGAAGAGATCTGCGCTTTTGGAATTGTTGGAAAAAAAAAAAAAAAAAAAAAAAAAAAAAAACAGGAGAAAAAAAACCTAAAAAAAAAATGCATGGCGGAAAAGAATGGGGATATTACTGTGGAAATGGGAATTCAAGATAAACGCATAGTATCGACAGACCAATCAAAGGCCGAGTTGAAAACAAGGCAACTAATCTTCATGCTTGCTAGCATGGTGTTGTTTGACACTAAAATGGATTACGCTCTGGTAAACCAATCAACATCTACGTCCTAATGAACCAATTAGAATGGTTATTATAGGATTAACTTATCTGAAATATTAACAAAATAGTTTAGTATGACAAAATAATTATTAAAAACCCTTTAAATTTTTGCACACATGCATGTATCGTGTGCTCAGTTTTCGATTCTGCCCTCAATTATGCAATGCGCTTTTTTAATGAGAGATTTAAAGGAATACTGATACAACCCACAGAAACCCCCTAGTACTCTATGTATTCCCTTGATTATTGAGTTTGATAACTATTGGGTACCTAGTATAAAACTTTTTTAACTTTGCGGTTGTTTTGATGAATGAGATTTTGTATGTCATTCACATCTACAATAAAATCACGCATGAAAATATATAGTCGAATAATGACTTTCTATAATTTAATTATCTATAATTGTTTTTTTCCTGATGGTGCTCGTTTACGGGTCGTCAGAGATGAACTCATTATTCATTTCTTGTCTTGGAATATATTTGCCTTCAATACCAGTATTAGGTATCTCGCCAGAGTCACTTGTACTGATGGCTTTGTACCCTGATGAGAATGGAAGGCTAAACCCGGGTTTTCCTTCTTCAGGCTCTGGCTTTTTATATCTACAGGGGAAAATATCAACCGCTGTCAGTAGTTAGTTGATAACGACAGACTAAATAGAGACGAACTACTGTATGGACAGACAAATATAAAGACGGACAGACAGATAGATAGACAGACAGAAAGACAGCCAGCCAGACAGACAGAAACATAGACAGACAGAAACATAGACAGACAGACAGACAGACACAGCACAGACAGGCAAGGACAAACAGACAGAAGAACGGACAGACGGACAGAATACTAGCTACAAGAATCACAAGGACACTAGAAGAAGAAGTGAACAAAGAATTAAGAACATTGGAACTAGAAACCTAGTATAACTTACAGACATAATTACTAATACTTTATTTTAAGACATTGTAAATAAATTGCATTTTATATTTTAAATTAGTACTATATTGCATATTTATATATAGATATATTTTATCCTATTCATATTCTATCATAATTTTAACTTAATTTATTTTCTTAATTTATTATATTTTATTTTGTGGCAGTACCTGCAAATTAGTAAAATATCCTATATATTGAGCTAAGTGTATTTTTGACCACGTTAAATAAAGTTAAAAAAAAATGGGAGTAAACTACTTACAGTTTCAGAAATAATGAAGAACCAACAACAGAGACAGAAGAGAGAGCCATAGCTGCACTAGCCATCCAGGGCTTGAGTACTACACCAACCGGTTCAAAGACACCAGCGGCAAGTGGAATACCAATCATATTGTACAATAGTGCGAACAGGAAGTTGATACGAATACGGCGTACTGTCACACGTGATAGGTCGATTGCAGCAGCTACGTCCATCAGGTCATTCTATGATTGGATGGGAAAAGATGCATGAGAATGAATGAAAGGGTCAAAATAGGTTGGGTAAATGAGTGGGCATAAATGGAGGGACGAACGGACGAGTGGATGGATGGATGAATGGATGAATGAATGGAATAAGTGAATGAATATATCAATGGAATAAATCAAATGAATGAATGACTGATTGCCCTACGGACGCTTGGACATCAAAGCACAACTAATACAAGTCAATTTTAACTCAGGAAAGTTTAACAACATAATCTTTCCTAGTTAAAATGGAAGGGTCCTGAGTACAACGATAGAATTAGATGTAACTGATTTCTAAGGAAGTACCCTCCTCAGGGATTAATTCCATGACCGCCTGCACACAGAATCGTACTCAACCAAATAAACCAAACGGAAAGCGGTTTCTGGATCAATTATTTACCATCACGTACCTTGATAAGAACAATATCAGCTGCTTCTACAGCTACATCAGTACCAGTTCCTATAGCAATTCCTACGTGTGCCTGGGCTAAGGCAGGAGAATCGTTGATGCCGTCACCAACCATAGCCGTGATGAAGCCACGTTCTTGGAGGGATTTGATCTTAGCTACTTTATGTGATGGGAGAACTTCGGCGAATACTTGTTGAATACCGACCTGAAAGATATTACGATATGAATAAGAGAAATACTGCATTATTGTTTCAGATGAAGAGGGTAAGACCTGGGATGTGAAGATAGATCGAGGTACTGTTATAACTACGTTAGAAACTGTGATTACAAGGCGGAGGAAGAGAAAAGTCAAACAAAAAAATTGCAAAATTAACCATGAAATAGAAATCATGGAATAAGGTTGTCCTCTCTTCCCCCGGTAAGAGACTAGAAGCAAAAGGAGAGTCCAAGAGGCCAAGTAGCCAAGAGGCCAAGAGTGGGATGTAAGATGAGCGCGCGCGCGTTTTCGAGCAATCGTTCCCGCCAAATCTACGGGAACTCTATAGCCTAAACCATGGAGATAACCACTTCGTCACACAGGCCTTTCCTGTTATCTCCAAATACGTCTTAAACACCTCGACTTTTTATATCAAAAAATAATACATCAAATAAATATGTGTGAATTACCTTCCCTACCCCTCCCCCCTCAGTACTCCACTGGTATAGACATAACAGCTTACTGACCTGACTAGCTATGGCCATGGCAGTTTTCTTATTGTCACCAGTGAGCAGTACGACACGAATGCCCATCCTCTTTAGTGTTGCTACAGTGGCTTGTGCCTCGCTCTTGACTGTGTCCGCTACTGCCATCATTGCTACCAGTTTACCTGAAGTACGAACAACCAAATACACAAATTCTTAATTACAATCTCTGTTTATGATACTCAAATAAAGACACTTTAATGCGTAGCGGAGAAGAATAAACTATTGTAGAGAATGGCGGCGCAGAGGCAGTGAAAAGAGCTGAGGGAGTCCCAACTTTTGCTTCAAAAAGCAATGAGGCAAGAGGTATTCACCTCACAACCACCTTTAAATATCATCGTGTTAAAACACAATGAATCACGGGGATTCTTGGGAAAACAATATACATCTTAAGCTTTTTAAATCTTTGTCGAGAAAGAAAAGCTGATGGGTAATTGTCAATGAAGATTGATTCAAAATATGATATTACCATCGATAGCTATGAGTACGGCCGTTTGTCCTTTCAGTTCGTGTGTTTGCATGGCCTCTTCTATTTCGTCTGTTACCACTAAGCCATTCATTTGCATCCAGTCACGATTACCAATCAACACTTTATAGTTACTGGTGCTTGCACTGTCAAGGTTGGGTGGACTGTCTGGATAGAAAGGAACATAGGGTAATGATCAATGGGAATCGGTGTTTCAGACAACATAAAATATAATTGTAATATTAACTCAAAAATTATTATCATCAAAACTAACCCATCGCCATCCTCGACCTGAACGTTCACATGGTTATTATGAATCAATGCCAAACTTTTATTTAAAAAAGAATCCCTTCAGGACCCCGACAGTCAAACAACTTTTGCTACCCCATCTCTTTAAAGTAATGCATAATAATCCCACTATTTTCTAATTTCATTGACTTCCCAAAATTCCCAAATATTCCTATGTCATTTTAATTGCTTGTTAGGATTCTTACCCTCTTCGTTAAGAGAGACGTCCCGCAATGTATCAGTCACTTTACCGTCTATTATAACATCGATATTCTGTTCGTTTTTAACTCTCACGTTAAGCAGTCCGTCCACATCGGTAACGGTACAAGAGAGACCATAACCAGGTACCGCCTCGAAACCAGTACACTGACCAAGAGTCTCAGTATTAAGCTCCTTGGAGGTTAAAAAAACAATGTTAGGATGGCTTACACCAACAGAGTATGGAAGCATCAGTTTCATTTGAATTTTTTTATATTGTCACTATTATTGTTTACTGTCCCCTCCCCTTCCGCCAATTTAGAAAGAAAAAAGAATAAACAAAAAGGAAGGAAGGAAGGAAGGAAGGAAGGGAGGAAGGGAGGGAGGAAGGAAGGAAGGGAGGGAGGAAGGGAGGAAGGGAGGGAGGGAGGAAGGGAGGAAGGGAGGGAGGGAGGAAGGGAGGGAGGGAGGAAGAAAAGAACTAATTCTACACTAGTTACCTTTTTAGCATACTTAGTGACCGCTACTCCAAGCGGGTGTTCACTATTGTTCTCAGCCGTCCCTGCTACAGCCAGCAATAGAGGTAAGCTACATACATCGGGATTAACGAACAGTGCTGTTTTAATCACTTCGGGTGTCCCGTGAGTTATTGTACCTGTCTTATCGAATACTACTGCAGTCACCTAAGAGACAAGACAATCCGACATTGTTGACGTTAGAAAGGCGAAATAGATAGGGAAGGGTGAGCTACGAACAAAATTTACCCTGACGGGCTGATACTCTTCTTGTTGTGAGATATGACGATTAGAATGAAATATCGATGGATGCGAAGCGCCATCGGGAAGCACAACAATAAAGTGCAAAAATGAGCGGCGCCTTTTGCAACAAGTTTCATTATTGGTTTAAAAGACAATTTCGTGGTCACTCAAGCGAAATCGGGTAAGGTGCATACATTCAACAAAATCTAACGTAATAAAAGGTGCTTTACTATGGGGCAACCAAAAAGCAAATTCCTCATGGTAGACTCTTACTAAATAAATGTGGGAGAAGATGAAACTCGTCATTCAACACCTCTAAGAAATGTTTCCTAGTTTACCCAAATAAAATACGTAACAGAGGCGGATCCAGGAATGTGTTCATGGAGGGGGTGCAGCACACTTGGTTAACCCAGAGAGGGGTGCACCCCTTAGAATCAAAGGGAAAAAAACATAATTATGTATTGGTTAAATCTTTGAAGTAGGGGCACAAAGTCGAACCAGGGAGGGGTGCGCACCCCTTGCACCCCTCCCCTGGATCCGCCACTGCGTAAACAACTGACCTTGTGTGCAGTCTCCAGTGGTTCTCCACCTTTAATAAGAATACCATTCTGGGCTCCAATCCCTGTACCGACCATCACAGCTGTCGGGGTGGCAAGACCGAGGGCGCAGGGACAAGCTATAGCCAGTACTGTTATACTAATCTGGAAGGCGAATCCTATAATGAACTCGTCTTTGTTGTCTGCCTTCGGCTGGAAAAAAAGAATCTTTTTTCATCAGAATAGAGGTTTTTCACTGCACGCATTTTCCTAATCATACAAAACTGCTATTAGGTCACTGGTCAATGATCCACTACGTCAACAATACTTACATCGAATTTCTTATGTAACAGCTTGATATTGACGTATCCCATGACGAGCCATACGATTAGAGTTAAAACGGAGATGAGAACTACCACCGGCACAAAATATCCAGATAGCTTGTCCGCAAACTTTTGTATAGGAGCCTATAAAGCAACCATGCAATACCATCATAAGGACAAGAAACATGAAATTTTTCAAGGTTTCAAGTTTTTTTTATTTTCCAGATAGCATTTTATAGACATTATATTTAAACCTCTTGTCTATTTACTGAGAGGTGCAGATACGATACTTAAGCGTGATGTGACTTTATATTAAGAGCGTCGGTTACCTTGGAAGTCTGTGCTTCCTGAACAAGCTTGCAGATCTGTGATAAAGTAGTGTCTTGCCCTACGTGGGTTGCTTCTACTAGTATCGACCCATTCTGGTTGATTGTTCCACCTATCACCGAGTCTCCGATCTTCTTGGGTACCGGCATTGATTCGCCTGTGATTAAAGACTCGTCTGCCATTGATGTCCCTTGGATTACTCGGCCATCTACGGGTATTTTAGCACCGGGTACGACCTAGAAAATAGACAAAACAAAGCTGACAACAGGGTGTATAAAAATCAGGATTAATAGTAAGATATGTTCTTTGACCTAATGCCGTTACGCGCATTCAGTTTGGAGTAAAATTTTCACAGCGTGACAGCGTTTTCTCGAAGTGCCCTGTTTATATTTTTCCCATAGCGAGAATAGAAGGATAATGGCGGTGGTGAATCATGATTATTTTCAAGACCTCATGTCGTCGCGCTTGTAAATTGCGGGCTACATTTAAATCCAGTCAACGTTTATGTTGTTGTTGCTGCAATTGTTGCTGCTCTTGTTGCTGTGTTGCCGTTGAGCATTTCAGTATTTTTATACATATTTGGGCTATATTAGCATTAAATTATTGTTGCTGCTGCTGTTGTTGTTGTTAGTGGTTGTGTTACTGTTGCTGCAGCTATTGTTGTCGTGAAGAAGTGCGCTCTTCAATCCAATAATCGAGAAAGCCAAACTTACCTTTAAAATATCGCCTCTTTGAACCAGATCGACAGTGATAACCTTCTCCTCAATGACATTCAATGTTCCCGGGGCGAGCTTAACCATCACAGCATCAGCTGGCTGTAAGGACAGTAACTTAGCCAGTGCTTCAGATGTCTTGCCTTTGGCTACATACTCCATCCAACGTCCCATCGAGATGAAGACCAACAACATTGGAGGCGTGTCGAAGAAAGTCATAGGACTGTTAACACTTTGCTCCGACATAGCTACAGCTACGACTATTATCTGCAAAGTGGAAAGCTGTTTCAGTACATATGCCAATACTGGAAAGAAAATTCAATGGTCAATTTCTTACTAAGATTTTTTTGGCGCATCCTGAGTGGTTTAAAATTCCATATTTCTTCTAAAAAAATATTTATCGTGTCTTCTGCATTGGTTTTCTGGGGGTTTCCCTGTGTCATTAAATAATGACGCGCCATTTCTTATGAGTGAACAAAGAGTCGGCACCTCGACTGTCAAATGTTTTTTTTACCAAACAAACAATCAAGCACTAGAATGCTTGCGCACAAGCCAATCCCAGTGCTTGGATACGGAAGTGCTTGGATACGGAAGTGCTTGGATACGGAAGTGCTTGGATACGGAAGTGCTTGGAAACGGAAGTGCTTGGATACGGAAGCCACTTATTTCGAATCCTTAAGACCTGCAGACTAAAGACTCACCGAGTAGACGTAAGCTATTGTAGTAGCCAACATGATAAGTACATCCATGTTCGTTGTACCGTGTTTAAGAGCCTTGAAAGCAGTGACGTAAAAATGCCTACCACCAAGGAACTACGAAAGAAAGAGACCCACTATGTCACCATATAAAATTATGCAAAAAATATGAAAGAAACGTGAAAAACGGGGTTGTGAAGTCGAGGGGAGTGGAGAGGTCAGTCCGCAAAAGCCATGCACCACATTAATGGCGGGAATAAAAGAAAGAGGTAATATTTTTTACTTCGATGACGTGGAGGTAGTTACCCAATTTTCCCGAAGCCAGGGGTTCATGTATAAAGCCATCAAAGGTGCGCACTCCCCCCCCCCCCCCCTTCAGACTCCCAGTGCTCCTTATTAAAGGGTGTATAGAGCTAAAGCTACATAGAACAGAGAGAAGTCGAAACAGAAGTGGAGATCTTGAGGATTGAATCGTGAAGATCTGAGCTTTGAAGGCCGCGCGCAAACCAACTGAGCTACACCTGCTCTTTAAATAGGTTAATTTTGCACTAATTCACCCCCACCTCACCCCTATAAGTAATGATTACCTGTACAGGTGTGCATAGAATAAACATAAGCAGGTTTTCTAGAGATAATCCCGGTAAGACATTGTTGCGCGGCCTCTTGCCTAGCTCGTCTAGTATGACGTAAGTAATGAAGATACAAAACACAGGAAACCCAAAGATGAGAGAAAACAGGAACGATCTCCTCCATCTGTCGAGAAACGTAAGAAAAAACAAAGTAAGGTTGTTAAACGATAACGATTTTTAGCTGCTATCAATAAAGCCTAGTATTTGCCTCAATCGTTGCGCAAGAGCAGGAGCTATGCAAAGGCGCTACGATGATAACTACTCATTAGAGCAGTTTTGTCGTGATGTGTACGCATAATTAGCACACAGCACAGTCATGGAAGGGAATCGATCACTGGTTAATCCAATTACAACTAGTCACGGCACAGCACGCCATGTTTTTCCTCTCCTACATACTATAACTTGGTGTCCAATTTGGTGACGATACTAACATGTATTATAAGTGCAGTTGCGACACATCCCCTCGTGAAAGTAACGGGCCTCTGTCACGAACGTCTGGCACGGTACCGTTACAGTTACGTCAAAACACACCAATACTCTACATTATTTTCAGTCCAACATGTGCAAGACTTGGTGTCCAATTGGTGGCATCACTAACATGTATGACGTAACGTTGCGACGTAAGTACCATGACCAGGACGGACCATGTATCTAAGCATCCTGATTGGATAGTATAGCCAACATGGCTACGACTGATATCGTAACAAACAATATAATACGATATCGTGCAAAAAAAAAAAAAGGTTGAATATTTGATTACTTTTTAATAGAGGCACTGTGGTCAATCTTGTCTTTGTTCTTGTCACCTGACGACAACGAAGCCGAGAATCCCAGACCCTCTATAGCCTCGATGATGTCTCGGGGACCCGTCATTTCCGTGTCGTACACAAACCGGCCACTACTCGTTGCCAGGGCAACCGAAGCATTGAGGATACCAGGTCGTTTGATCAACGTGGACTCGATAAGATGGACGCATGATGAGCATGTCATTCCAGTTATCTAATAAAATGGAATATTTGCTATTAGATGTAGTACAGTAAGGGCGGATCCAGCCAAAAGTTTAGGGGTGGGGGGAGGAATAATTGAGTTTCTTCCGTCAACACAACGGAAAACAATAAAAAATGCATCTAATTCTTCAGTTTTTTTCCTACTGAAGGATCCCCCCTCCTATCCGCCCCTGTACGTATATGGCACACTAGAGATGTAGTACGTGCATGGCACACTAGAAAACAAGTTCTAGTTCAAGACGACCTACTTACCAATATATTCACAGTATTCTCGCCTTGTCCTTTCTTATCCATGAGTTCACATACGAACCCCATTTCATTGACATGACAGACTATTACGTCTGGAGAAATGGCCCCTTTAGCGAACTTCACTTCTGCTTTTTGTGCCAGCAACCCAACCAGTACTGACTTTACGCCTGAGGTTTAGAAAAATCTAGAGTTAGTGAATGATAAATCTTCAGTAAAGAGACATTATAACCTCATTAGAGATTTCGAATAGCGTTTCAAGAGCCGTGCAGCACGAGCGAAGGAAAGTTCTTGACAAGCACAGAATTACAAAACCCCTCAATATCTTTCTAAAATTAGTACGACCTACTTTACCGAATAATAATATTTAAAAATGATAAGTGAAATTGAAAAAGAATACCGCAGATGGAAAAACGTATCGTCCTGTCCTGAACGGGTTAGGGAAACCGTTGAAAAAAATGGTTGTAGGGTATTTCTATAGCAGCAAAATTTATCTTTCTTGACATATAAGCAGACATAGTACATTAGCTACGAGAAAGTATGCGGAACTTTTGGATTTTTCCGCTCTGCATAACAAATGACGCAAAAACAGATTTTTTTTTAAATAACTGGACTGCAAGTTTTTATATATAACGTTTCTATACTTTGAAGGTATTTAACCAATTTTACTTAATGATGTATTGTGCTTAGTAAAATAATAAAAAATAATATCCACTATGAAGGTTTAAAAAATACCACTAAGTAATAGTCTTTTAACTTCGTTCGAGTACTTTAAAGTCATCAAGCTTGTCCAAAATATTCTTACTGCTAAGAAAATTTCCTCCAATATCTAAAAGTTTTCATTCGTTTGAAAATGTTTACACTCTCTTACCTAAAACCTAAATCAAAAAGACAAAGTTCCAGCGAAAATACGTTAATAAAGATAAGCAGTCATTACCTTTTTGTTTGAGGTTTAAATCCTAGACGGCTATGAAGATGCTTATAAGATATTCTACAGAGGTACTTGAAGGAAACCACTAAAGCGTGATTAACTTAAAGAACATTTTGATATTGATAAAGGAATTGCGAATTATTTTTTTGCCGAAGGGCATAGAATTATGAGAATGTTTCTTAAATTTATATCTTTAAATATTTTTTAAAATATACACACATGGAAGTTTGATCGATTGAAGACTTTTAAGATAAGAAGAAAAGAAACAAAGGATTATAATGGTGTGAAAAATAGAAATAAGACGACGGGTCTAAAAGTAATAATTAACACTTAGACAAAAATACTTTCAAAAATTTGAAATGAATTTTCAAAAACGTTCTGTGAAAATAATAATCATAGTGTTAAAAACCTCTGACGAGCCTGACGTTATTGCCATGACGAAGTTTTGAAACAAAAAACTAATGTTGACGCAGATGTTGAATGCAACAACAAAAGAGCTTTTGAAAGAATACATAATGTTTCTCTTGTATCCAAATGACTTAAACAGGTTCTTGGGTTTAAACTTTTTCAACATTCAAAATCCAAAATTCGTTCAATAAAACATAATTTATGTGACACAGATTCGACACCAATAAATAAATTTCCTTGCAATAAAATTGAAGAATGATAAATGACTTAAAATGGGGTAATCAGGTATGGAAATCATGTATCATTTGTTCATATTATTATTATTTTAATTATGAGAACTAGTAGTAAAAATATATAAGTAATAGAAGTATATTCCCCCTCCCCAAAATAATATCTTCACTTTTTCCATTTGGTATTTTTAGATATCTTCATATTTTCAATAGGACATAAAGAAGACATACATGAAGTTTCAACTGTATATTATACAACTTGGATGTATTGTACATAAATTTTATTGTAAATAGCCTATTTTTGCTTGACAATGGTTTGAATATATTGGCTTTTTTTAGAAAAGAAGAAGGAACTTTACAATGGGTTCAACATATATCAATGGCTTTTGTAATACCAATGTAAAATAAAAATGTTTCAATACACATGGTTCAGAAATACATGGTTATACATCCATACACTAATTTGTTGGGTTACAAAATGAAATAAAAATTCAAGTGAAAAAGAAAAAAAAGAAAGAAAAAGAAAAATAGAAAATAGAAAACAAAGACATATATATGTAGTAAACAACAGAGATAACTTAGCATACCTTTTTTCTTCATTAATGCCCTCTCAATACTAGCCACGCAAGAAGCACAAGTCATCCCCTCAATATGGAGGTAAATCTTTTCTATATCTTCCATCTTTGACCGTGGTGCTAGGTTTGTAGCACTACTAAACCTTATGCCCCAATTTCCTTCACCTTCCTGCGTCGCCATTGCCACAAAAGAGTCCTTTGAAGCACTATCTGTATCTAAAGGTTCAACGACTTTGACTCAGTTATACAAGAACTTGTAATATTTGCACAGGCTGGGCAGTAGAATATTAATATTCTATAGATTGTTATGTAAGAAGAATGGTTGATGTGCATGAACAGTAATGACCCACTAGATGATGCCTAACATGATAGATTAGTACAAAACTTGATATTATAGACTTGATTTGGGCTGTGGGGGAGGGGAGGGAGGGGGAGGGGAGGGGGAGAACAAATAACAAAACACACACACACACAAACTTAACCATTACCAATAAATCACAAAGAGTATACTAAAGTTTTTATCACAAGTAACTGGAAGCACTACCTCAAATATTACACTGTTGCAACCTTGCCAATTCATAGCAGGAGGAGTTATGCATTTATTAGATCTATATTATATCCTTTAATAGTATTTGTAGTATTAAAGTAATTTTTTTAGTCTGCAGTTTCTAAAATATCACAGAATTTATCATAATTCAATCTATATTGTGGCTGATATCTTGCTCAAACGTAGAACACAATCAAACGAATACTTAATATCAGCCTTTATTTAATAACAGCTAAATATATTTTTTTTGCAAAATTATATATGTTGACTATAATCATTATGATAATATCTTAATAACATCTTTAAAATATTTAAATTTGATTTTTAAGATATTAACCAGCATTAAGGAAAAAAAGGAAGAAAAAAAAAAAGAATATAAAATAATTTGTGCAGTACCATGTYGATCCTCATTATTTGTGTTACTTTTTTAGTGAAAATATCTACTTCAATGTAATGTTAATGCCATGATATTCTAGCAATACATTTCTGTCTTTCCAGTGTCAGTTTAGTCACAAGGATCGCGGCAGGGTGTCAGTTTATCAAGGACAACATTTGATGGTTAGGTTGAGGTTAAAAATTGGATTAAAACTAAGATGGTGTCAGGTACTTGAGAATTGCCATTTACCTGTTGCATTATCGTTGACCTTCGCCTCTCTGGGTATTAACACTATTATAATTATTTTTTTAAATGTCTAATAAAAAGTTTAAATTTCACAAAATAATTTTTCTAAAAGGAATTTTGGGTAACTACCAGCAAATTATACATTTTTCAAATTTTGGATTTCCTTTACTGATACTACTGGGTCATAGAAATAAATATCATTATTATACCCCACACTACCCCACCCCACCCCCTCCCTTCTTTCTTAAAATCCATGCTAAAAATGTTTTAAATTTTGAAGTATTTCAAAACCCTACTCGACTACTCCCAAATGTCTGCAAGTCTTGACTGTCAATCAAAACTTTAGAAGCCGCAGATGTTTATAAATTTGACTGACAGATGTCAAGCTACATACATGCATATGCAACGCTGGGTGTGCACCTCAGTCAAAGAATTGGCAAAAAAAACATTTACCTTTAGAAGGAAGAGAAGCATCAAATCCCATGTCATCAATAACACTGCACAAGTCTTGAGGCGTAGTTACCTCAGGATCATACTTGATATCAGCCTTTCTAAGGTCTAGAGATACCTTAATATTTATAACTCCCGGAACAGTAGACATCTTTCCCTCAACGGTTTTCACACATGACATGCATGTCATTCCCGCTATAGCAATGACAGCCATTCTGATGTCTTTGTCATCATCGTTGACCCCATCATTCAGAAGATGAGCTTCAAAGCCCATGTTCTCAATGGCTTCTACCAGCTGTTCTGGAGTCATCTTTTCAGCTGTGTACGAGATCTGCACTTGCTTCTTTTCAAGAGAAACAGATATAGATTGAACTCCATTTTTCTGTCCAATCTTTGCTTCTATTGTATTGACACAAGAATTACATGTCATTCCTTCTACATTTATCATGACATTTCGAAGCCCAGAATTTTCTTTAGGGAGAATAGCTTCAAAACCAATATCTTCAATCACTTCCTGTAGTTTCTCGGGAGTTGTGATTGAAGCATCATATTTAATAGTTGCTTTTTCTTCTTGGAGAGATATGTTTGAGTTTTTCACGCCTGATGTATGAGATAGCGCCTTCTGGATAGACTTCACACATGACTGGCAGGTCATACCAAGGACTTTAAGATCTATTTCACTTATACCTTCAGAGGTTTCCTTTTCTTTCTGATATGCATTTTCTTTTGTAAGAATGTCTACAACTCTTTGAAGTGTAGCTTCAAAACCGACATCCTCTATAGCTTGTGTAAGCAGTTCACCATTGGTTGCTTTGCCGTTAAACTTGATTTGTGCTTCTTTCTCCTCAAGGGAGACATTAATTTCATTGACACCATTCATTTGTGATATGGTTTTCTCAATAGTCTTGACACAAGAATTACATGTCATGCCATTGACGGCAATGTAAGCGATGTGTGTGTAGTCACTAATGGCTAGTTTACTGATGTCATCTCCATCTTGTACTTGGGTAACCCCAGCTTTATCTTTAACAACAACCTATGGAGACAATGGATACCAACGTCAATAGAAAATTAATTATAAAAAGGGCCCAAGTTACAATTATATAATTATGGCCGTTCATGACACTCAACTGCAATACAAATTTCTTGTTCATAGAACGAATAGAGACATAAGTTATAAAGATTCTTCATGCTTCACATCATTTCTTAAAATCAAAAACACATTTAAAAACTTTTTCATAGCAATTCAAAAATATATTCAATAAAAAAGTGTCAAATATCATACTGAAACATAATAAATATTATATTTAATTTAGAAAACTCATTAATAATTCATGAAGAAAACACAATAGAAATCATGACCATGAAGGTGATTTTATATCTGATAAAGATTCGTCTTCATTTGCATAAACTTTAACTTGGATTTTCTCTATCAAACTTGGTTCATTTCGTAAAAAAATTGGTACACAATGAGAACAAACATCATAAGTTTTCTAAGCCGTTCAATAATCTCGCAGATCGTGGTTTATCGGGTCTAAAACCACTCGGCTGCGCCTCGTGTTTTATACCCGATAAAACACTCCTGCTCGTTYATTAAACAGTACATAAATGTTATGGAAATATGAGAGAAAAAAATTCAAGCAGAAATATTTTGCAAATTATTATGAAGTCATAACAATGTTAAAATGATTGTACAAAAAAATACAAAAATACACATTTAAAAAAAAAACTATTCCTCATATATTCTATAGTAAAATTGGTTCTTAATTATTTCTTTTTGCGAAAAATCTGTTGTAAACTTGGTGTTGTTTATGTAAATTTATCAAATGTAATATTCATTTTTATTCCTGTCTACCAGCTGTTTTAGTGAATAACCAAAAATATTACTACAATATTTATCACAAAAAATAATAATAATAATAATAACATAATAATATAAAGGCAACTAAAGAGAAAATTATAGTCTGAAGGTTGATTGAACAAAAAAAGTTTTTTACTAAGATCCAGAAAGGTTTTCCTGTTTGGACAGAAAACCTTTAAATATTTCATTAAAATAGCAAATGTTTACATGTAGATAAAATTTTGAAAAAAGATAAGGGCAGTAAGAGTAAAGTTACCTTTAGAAACAGTTATGGCTGTGAAATATTTTTCTTATATCAGTGATGGTAGTTTTACGAGAAAATCTATTTACCCTTTTGCTTTTCTAGAAGTTGAAAGAGCAATACAGCACAGTATATGAATGGATTTTCATTGACTTAATGAGGGGGGAAAAGGATCTTTAGCCCACTCATGACATCACAGGAAGACAAAGAGAGCGATCAATATCATGTAAAGAATGCTTGTTACTATGGTACAAAGCATAATAGGTCTGATGTGGTAGCTATGGTGATATCTTACAATGGACAGTTCCTAACACCTGAGCTATCTCATGGTACCAGGAGCAGAAATAAATATTTGTACAGCATTTTCTTTCTTGTCAAGGAGGCTTTCTTTGTTTCATTGCTCAAACAAAAGTAACAAAACTGTTTTTAAACCACCAGAATCAAATTCTACAAGGTTTTTCAGTGTAATGGCAAAGCTGGAGTAAAGACAGGTAAATACTCAGAAGGTACTGTATCTCAGCATTTGTAATTTGTCTTATACAAAAATCATTTTTGATTCTGATTTATCATGACATTATTAAATATCTTAAGTTTATATTAATTCTTAAATCTGAATTTTGCTTGAAGTGATGTGATGTGACATCACTGAGACTTTATAAAACATTTTTATGAAAAAATTAACAAAATTATCAATAACAATTGAATTCATGTTTTTGAGGTAAGGAAAACAATTTTTTAGTGTTAGGAAAAACTGCTTAGGAACTAATTTTCACAATTTGGTGCTGTAAATACCATAATGGTGTAGCTCACTAATATTGAACTTTTTTTTGGATTGAAAACATATTTATAGAATTTTGTAAATTAAATGGTAATTTAAACAAAAAATACAATAACAGGAAGCAAAACTATTTATACTTCTCTATTTTGCTATTTATACTTAATAAAGATATCTTCATTAATTTGAAACTATCCCTGAAACAAAATTTTAGATGATGACAGTCAGGGCAAAGCTAGGTCATGAATTGATTTGGTATTAATTGTGTTGTTGGTTTTTTTTTTGTGGGGGAAGGAAAACCTGTCTGTTTGAGATAATCACACAAACTAAAGGCCACGCTAACTCACAGACTGACAGCCAATCTTATATTTTGCCCATCTTTACATTAGACGCAATGGATGCAATATGCTTCTTGACACATTTTTCGTCTTTAGTATAAAGAGGACCAATATGTTTCAATGTTATTCATCTTCTATTTTCAGCAGAGCCAATGACCAAGAGGGAAATGACAGAGAAACAGCAAATGGACCGCTTGCATGATCCATCAAAGCAACTCAATTTGGAGGACAAAACAAAAGAATTTCAATCTCATGAGAATTGGCAACCTATTGTCTTCAAACTCAAAACTAAGCTGCATTCTGACTGGTTGTAAGGGTCTATAACAACTATTACTATGAACTATGATGCAATTGTCTGTATGGGTGTTTGTTTGTGTGTTTGTTTCCATTGATGTGGAGTGGATAATTAATTTACAGTTAGTATGGGTGTAGACTGCTGTAATGTTAACTGTTTTCTATCCTCATTTTCACATTATAGACTTCTTCATTTAACTTGAGTATAATGTTTTCCAATATTTCAGACCAGGCGTCATTCTCTTAAAAATAATATTTTTCGTTTGACTTGTATCCATATTTATGTGTCTTCTCATACACAACCATTAAACAAAAAATGATACTCTAGAGAATGACACAATGTCTGAAAAAAGAAAACTTATACTCCCAAAGCAAATTATGAATTTCAAAAGGTCACCAATCCTGGAACCAGTACTCCAGAAGCAATAAAGGAAGTTAAAAGCATGACCTTTGGCAAGAAGAAAACTATAGGTGGCATTTTACTTAACTAACAATAATCAAGAACTCCAAATAAGGTAATTAAAAAATCTTGACATAACGCATTGAATTTATTTCTTCATATAACACATTTTTTCTTGATATAACACATTTAAGTCAGTTTAACTTTCATATTTTTGGTAAGAATCTCACTTGATGTTATTTGAATCATTTCTTCAAAACCAGATAGCTATTACGAGGAAGTTAAAACAAATAATAAATATATATGGGAGTTAACAGTGGTTACATAGAGTGGCTCTTCCTTCTCCATTGGATTATAATTGGAATTTAGAAATTGATATTTATGGAGGGAGGAAACCGGTGAACCCAGAGAATAATCTTAAGAGAACAGAAGAAATTTAGGGACTAACAAACAACTCTACTTACACACATTCCTCTTTTAATCCGACGAAGGACTAGCATCCAAAACGTCAGTAGGTTTTTCATCTTTTCACAGTGTATAATTTACCTTTTTATCATTACTGTTTCATTAAAAATTATATACATTTTGGCAACTGTCAAATAATAATGTTAGATATGGTTCAATTGGCAAAGCCAATCTAACTGCCAAATCAGTAATATTATTACAAATATACAGTATATCTTTTAGCAGATACATATAACATGTTTCTGAATAACTATAGAATACTCCGCCAAATGAAAGCCATTTCTAAGGAATGTGCGTGGCCTACTTGGTGATTAATTCTTCATATGAATTTTCAGTGTATTTTTCATCGCGTCTTTCTGCCTACTCAGCCTACATGCCTACTCAGCCTACGCACCTACTCAGCCTACATGCCTACTCAGCCTACGCACCTACTCAGCCTACATGCCTACTCAGCCTACGCACCTATGCAGCCTATGCACTTACGCGCCTACGAACCCTTTGTCTATTCCTACAAAGCCTTCCCCAATCCTAACCCTAAACCTAACCCCAAGGTACTCAATTGTTTATTCCTACAAAGCCTTTCCCCAATCCTAACCCTAACCCCAAAGCGTAAATATATAAATCAAAGCCATTAAATACAATGCCTTACTTCTTCACTCCGTAGGCACGTAGGCAGCCCACTATAATACTTTTCCTTGCTGGGTAAATCTATAGTTGTACCCATGTTTCAGTCTTCATAATTTATGATATCATACTAAAATTGCTTTTTATTGATCATTACATTTCGATATCGTCAAGTTATTATTATCTATCAATACCTTGATTGAAGGTTATAACTTCGATTGATGTGAGTTGGCTATGTCCTAGTAAAAGTGATGGTTGATGAAATGATGGAATAAGAAAATAGTCGTTAAGCTTAAAGATGATCATGGAATAAGAAATGATAAAGTATCTGAGTATCTTCTATTTAAAAAAAAAGAATTTTTTTCATCAACCAGCACAATACAGAGATATCATGAGATATATAATGTAAAATAAAACTAAATCAGAAAGAAAAAAATGCACT